AGGCGCAACACCACCAGCGGCAGTTGCAGGAGGAGATCTTGGATAATGCCAATAGTTCCGCCAGCACTTCGCCCTCGTCCCATCGCAAGAAGCCCACTAGTCGCATTCAGTCGCCCAGATGTGAGTTTTTCACTTATTGTTAACCCGTCTGTATGTGACTAATCTCTATTTATACTCAGTCTCCCGTTTGAGTGGCCGCCAGGGATCGCCGGAGTCCATGGCGAATAGCTACCACGGCAACAGCGGCAACAACAGCATCGTTGGAGACAATGGATCTGCGAACCACTCGCTGCAGATGAGCATCTCGCTGATCGAGAACATCAAGAACGATGGCGAGGGCTTCTCGCTGGCCGGCAGCGGTATGTCCAGCAGCGTGACCACCAAGACCTACAACTCCACGGAGTCCACGCCTAGGAATATAACCCCAAATCCTTACAACGGTGAGAACATTTGAGAAACTAGCAGTGAACCATGGCTAGGGATTTTAGAAACAAGACTTTAAAATCAGATTTTTATTGCAAGTAACTTTTTAATGTGCCCTTCATTCCATAGATCAAACGTTCGTCAGTCAAACTCCATCTGGAGGCCCATTGGCAGCTGCCTCGAAGATGGTCCCTGTTCCGGAAACCCTAATGAGTCCGGACGTCTGTCCCGCCGCCGTGGCCCAAAGAGTTACGGTCACCGCTCTCAACTCGCAGCTGCACAAGACCAAGGTCAACAAGAACAAAGGTGGCCAGTAGTACATAGTCAAGACTCCATTACGACACATCCTAACTTATTAATGACTTTTTTGCTGTACAGACAACAAACTGAACTTGCCGAGAGTGCGAAGTCCGCAGCTGAAGAGGAACCAGAGTCCCACGAGCAGTCCACGGAGGATGGCCACCAAATCTAGCGGCGATAAAATGCAGCACCAGCAGCAGCAGCAGGAGAAGCTTCAGGCGTCCGGAGTAATGGTGGACTCCGGTGGCTTTAGCACCGACGACGACGGCGAGCAGATCAACATCGAGAAACTGAGGGCAATCCGGAAGATGGCTGCCCAAAAGCAGCAGATGCAGATGCACCAGCAAGAGCAAGTGAAGCAGCAGCAGGTGGACAACAGCCTGAACTGCGAGGATCGGTTGATCGAGCACGTGACGGAGTCCTCGGCCGTTACCATCCAAAAGATGTGGCGGGGCTATCATACGCGCAAGAAGACCAACAAGGACATAGCCGAGCGATTGCAGCGACGACGCACACAGGAGTATATCGAGTAGGTGGTTCACATTCCGGTATATTTAGTTTCTCAACTTTCTCATTCCCCAGACAACTCGGCAAGGACATGCTATTGACCAAGGCCCAACTCGAGAACGAGCGCAAGATCCAGCAGCTGCAGATGCAGGCCATCAATGCGCTGTGGAAGAAGGTGTCCACCATGGAGGTGGATCCCAAGCCCACGGATCAGGGCGAGGACGCCAACGGCGGGGGCTCTGGCCACTTGAGTCTCGATCAGAACTCCGCCGCCGTGGTCAATGACTTGGCCAAAAGGTGCACCATGCTCACCGATCAGGTTCAGATGCTGCAGAGCTCGATCGGAACCATTGTCAATTGCCTCACGATGGTGTGCAATCTGCCACAGGACGCTATTAAGAAGCAGGCCGAGATCATCGACTGCAGCTCCACTCAGACGGACCTGATAGCCGTACACACACCGCAAATCGAGGATCTCACCAACTTCCCCTTCACCAAAACCAGACCTTCGACTTTGGCCCTGGAAACAAAGCACGAATCATTCGCTTGCCCCAAAATCGATGAACTGAACGATGTCGATGGCCTCAAGGAGACCGACGACTCGGCTCACCTCGAAAAAGAAGCATGAAAAATCCCAGTTAATAAATGAGGAGTTTAAACGCTTTAAGGATCGATCTCAGCGCTTATTAATTCCTCCTGTAGTAGGCATTTGTGTAGCTTTTGCAACCATTTTTAGATCGGTTACAGGAACCTTCAAGTAGCAGCAGCCTCCACAAACACAATTTTTTGTTACATTCTTGAGAAGTAGTGATGGTGAGAGACTAAAGAAACTCATGAAAAAATCGTAAATACAAATTTTTGTAAAACACAAAAGCTAATTTTTTTGATTTTGGGAAGTTAAAAACGATTGATTTATTCCTTTTTAAACAAGCTATTACATACAAATGGGTCATTACAGACTACCATTCAAAAAATGAGATAAGCATCAACAGTTTTTGATTATTTCTTAACAAAGCTTTTTTATTTTTATAAAAATCTTAACTACGTGGGTGCATTTTTGTACTTTATAACAAGGAATTTCAGTCTTCGTCGCTGGATGTTTCCTCGTCCTCCTCTTCATCGGAGGATTCCTGGTTTACAGGACGGTTGGTATTAGGCAAAAGATCATCTTCGAAATCAGAGTCGTCTTCATTTTGGTTAGATGATTCCTCCTGGGCAGGTTTCTTGGTAAACTTGTCCGGCCAAACTCCAGCTTTTGTGTATTCCTTGACATGTTCAGGCGTGAGTATTTTGCAGATCTCGGCTTTGACCTTATCGCCCTCTTCGATCGGTTCAATCAGAAGGAAGTCGCCCCTTTTCACCCACATGCTCTTGCGGAATTTATTGGGCATTGAAACTGGAAGAGTAAAAAGTCGTAATGCTATATCATTTTACAATTACAAGTTGATATTTCAAGATGATCTGAGTCACATTTAATATAAACTGGAAGAGTAAATCGTATTTAACGTATTTACGACATTCGACATTACATTTCAGTTACAATTTTGACATAAATTTTGTGACCACCACAGGTTTGAGAGGATTGTGGGCGTATAAAACTTGCGCTGCGCACGATGCTAAGAAGTCTAAATCAAAAATCGCAACCCTCGACTTGGTTAGATCGACTCGGCTAGTCGTGCTACCACTACCACTACGAGTAACGGGTATAAAAAAAAATATAATAAGCTTTCCTATTTTTTCTAATTTAAAATATTTATATTCTCCTTGAAAACCATGCAATGTACTATTACTTCTGTATATGAATTTTTATTCCCAGATTCTTATCAGAATTAGGATTAGTCATTGCTTATTATCAAAACGGAATTCTCAGCATTCTCTATGGTCCAATTAAATATAATATATTGTGCTAAAGGTTTCAAAGGTTCTGAGCACATATGATAAGACGCATGCATATAAAAGTCAGGCCGCTAAGCCTCAGAACTGCAGAAGCGTTTTTAAGCTGGTCCTACTCGCATTTACGGTTTATTAAATAAGAACGAAAATGTTTAAATTGACAATCAACCTGCTCCTAGTGCTGATTGTTGGGGATCGCAATAGATCTCTGGCAGGTATACCGAAAAGTGTGAGTCAATCGGAGGACTTGCAAGCCCGCTGTAACGGATACTGCTTCTCTAGTATGAGGTCAATGATGGATTTCATTGCTGCCAACCAGGATCAGTGGGACACCTGTAAGGCGATTATAGCGAACGACACCAGGGCGGACCAGAACCAGGTAAAGGCACAGCTGTCTGAACTGCAGGACACCGTAACCGGGATGCAAAATCAGCAGCAGATCATATCCAAGGACTTTGAGGACCGACTGGGCAGGCTAGACAGCCAATTGGCAGCCATTAACGAGATCCTGACAACCCATACATCACTGCAGCCAAAGGCAGTGACGACGGAAAAAACCCCTCCGCCAAAGTTTGAGCTAATAGGTACTAGATATTTCTATTACGAACAAAATATTACGCTAAATTGGTTTGCTGCGGCGAACCAATGTCGTGAAATGGGGGGTCACCTGGCGACTTTTAAAAACCAAGATGAGATGCTTTCAATGCAACCTAAAATATCTTCTTTATCCATCTGGCTGGGAATTAACTGTCTGTCTAAGAAGTACGACCACGTGTCCTTGGCTTCTGGTAAGCCAGCTCCCTATTTCAATTGGCGTTCGAATGAACCACTAATCAACAATGACACGGAGAGGTGCGTTGTCTTAACTACAAGTTATGAAATGGTATATGTACCTTGTTACATTAGTAGAAACTTTATTTGTCAAGCAGATGATGAATATTAAGTCCTCAATTTTAAAGGATGGACCCTATAATTCAAAGATCAAGTCGTTAAATTAACATTTACATCTCAGGGAGATTTTTCAAATAAATGTTAGATTTTGAAGATACTTTTATTGTTGGTTTTAGAAATTGCAATCTCCTTGGCAACATAACTTTTAGATATTGTAATTATTTTAGCAATGAAGTGGATAAATATAAATTAAATTACAAATAAACTTATATTGTGTGCTAGAAATATAAATGTTTTTATTGGGTTTTAAGGCGGAACTTCTTCAAATCTAAAATAAGGCAGTGAAATGTTGGTTTAAGCCTTACGAAAGAGTAGAAGAGGGTTTTCCCAGGACTTTCCCGCACTCACCCAGGAAGTTTTCCTCGACCTTCGCCGTTTCCACCTCGTGGAGATTGTTTCCCCGGCTGCTGAGGACCCGCGCGATCTGCTGGTTCTCCGTGGGCAGCGCGTAGTCGTCCTCCATCATCTCCTTCATCAGGTGCTTGCGGCGACTAATGCTCGGATGGGATCGGTGCATATTGTAAAGGTTTATCTGCGAAATCTGCGAAATTTGCTTAGTTTTGTTGACAAAATTTGTTTTATTTTGGACTTCACGCCTGATATCGATAATTTTTTGTGTACAATTTAGTCAGCTGTTTTTGCAGGGCTGCCAGACTGCGAACAAGGGCTATCGTCTATCGGTACGAACGATAGGAATCCAAACGATACCTATCGCTTACGACTTAAAATCAGTGTTGTAAGACTGCGCGCGTGGTTCAAGCTGAAATGCTGTTTTAAATTTTTCAAAAAGGAATTGTATTAATTCAATGAATACTTAAATGATTATATTTAAAAACCATAATTTGTACAAAATAAAAAATCCTAAGATAATAATTTTGTAATTATTACCTGATTTAATTACCATACCAATTCAACTTCAGTAAAAGTACGATCACAATAGCAAGAGGACATTTTATTTTGAGAGCCACGCCTGCGTTTAAAGTTTTTATACAATTTTGTAACTTAACAACTAGTGGAGAATGAATCCATTTAACGAGAAATTTTCTTAGCAATAGTGTAATAAAAAGCAACTAGAAATAAAAATATATGCTATCGCGTTGCTTAGAGCTATGTAACTAACTAGTTTTTGCTGCGCCTCAACAGCATACGCTCCTTGAGGGAAATCCGTCCAGACTTTTCCACCTTGGTGGAGACGTTGCGACGGGACTCTATTTGGGCCTGCTTTGATTTCTTCATCCTGAAAAGGGTGACCATATTTATTAACTTGGTTAGAAGGTAGTTTCCTTGATTTACTTACAGTTCGTTCAAGAGACTGGTGACCTCCTTCTTCCAGATATCCTTGAAATCATTGGTGAAATTAGTCCAGTACTCGAAAAATTGATCGGGTGTGCACTGGGCCAAAGTTAGAGTGCAGGCCTTGGGCGAAAAGTGGTAGAATCGCATGGTCTCCAGGAACAGCTCGCGACACTCCTCGAGCGATTGGTGGAGCTTCGCCATCGATTTGTCCGCCCCCTCCATGAACTCCTCCATTTTGGACTTGAAGGGCTCCATAATTTCAGGTCGGGAAGCGGCCAGAACTTTGGCGGTCGTCCTCTTGCAACCTAAGAGGGGGAACATTATGGATTATTAAAATATTAAAGAAAATTCAAGGATAGGTTGAACACTTCAATATTAGCACAGCTTTTTTTCTAGAGATCATTTGGTAATCTTACTCTTTGAAGAAAATAAACTATTTTTGCCCTGGCTTGGAACTATAATTTGAAATTTCAAAGGTTTCTAAGAGTAGGCAACAATATTTTTTAAAGCCAATTGGCTTAAAGCCTATTATTTTAAAGCATACTTTAAGAGACCACCAAAAACTAATCGGTTCTTGAAAACTCACCCAAAAACTTCTTGTTCAGATCGAAGATCTGCTGCTGCACCTCCTCGAAATCCATTTGGGCGGCTCTCTCCACGTCCGCCGGCTCGGGAATCGGCAATCGGATCTCCAGCGGATGCACTCCCTCCTTTCTCCTCTGCGCAATGTAGGTGCGAACTATGAAATGCAGCAGGGTGGTGTGTGATTCCTTGGACTTCACGTCCTTCAGCTTGCCCAGAATATCCAGATTGAAGCCATCGGCCTGGCCCCGCTGTCGATTTCCCCCGTTCATGTAGTTTCCCAGGGTCAGGATTATCGAGAAGACCCGCTTCAGATCCTCGCTTTCGATCAGCTGCTGTGAGAGCTGCGCTACAGTCTCTAACTTTCGCGCCAACAAAGTCACGGACTCCTCGAACTCCGCCTGGAAGACAATGCATGAAATCCGCTCGCTGGCCATGGAAATCAAGGATATGTCCAGGAGGAACTGCTCGGGGTGATCGAGGGGTATATCTCCGCCGGCCGCCTCCCTGATCCGCTGCAGCTCATCCTCCGACGCCTGGATGTTGCTCATGTGCTGCAACTGCTCCAAACTCACGACCGACGTGTCTATGTGGTAAATAGCATGCTCGATTTCGGTGGACGGGACGTGCAGGCTCCTCCAGATGATGCCCACATTCCGGGACCTCTCCGGATCGAGAACTTTGATCGACTTGGCCCGCTTGACCTTCAGCTCCTTGGGCTTGCTGACCGGGGCCATGGCCTGGCGGGAAAACAGCTCCGTAAACTCATCGATATTGTCCAGCGGCGTCTCCTCGATCTCCGTCCAGATTTCCTTGGTGGGCGGCGGGGCGTTGGGCGTGGCCTCTCCGCCATTCGCAGCCGGAGGCTCGTCCGGAGAGCTCCCGCTGTTTTCCGTGCTATCCGTGGAATTGGCCACCGAGGGGGGGCGTGGCGCGGGCGGGGCACTCGTCACGATCCGCGTCCAATATAAGGGACGCATGGGCTTCGGCGGGTTAACGGCGCTCTTGCGCATCGCTGGAAGAAATGATTGATTAAAATTATAATAATAATAATAATGGTCAAGGGAACAATGAAATCATTTTCCCCTGATATTTTAAGATATTTGTTTGATTTTATAACAAGTCTCTTTTTTGTTTTATTAAACTTTTTATTACAGGACTGTCTTATGTAACCTTTTTTTAGGGATGCTCTATAATTGGTTGAAATTTATAGCATATAAAAACTCTTTTTAAATTAATTGTATAAAATAGTTTATTTTTCAAAGAAGTTGGTTTGATTGCTTCAATATTTAAAATATGGAAATATCTTTCTTCTTTTTTTATTTTGCAAAAGTAAATTTTTTTTAAATATTAATTGTATACTTACTATTTGTGCGATGGAACCAGTTGCCTTCGGCGGGGTCGGGAAGAGGGGCGGGGGAGATCGGCGTCTTCGAGGAGGAGGCACTCATGGGCGGCGGTGGAGGGGGTACCGCCCCGCCTCCTTCCATAGGCGCTGGTGGTGGCGGGGGCGGGGCATTGCCACTGCCGGGGGGAGGTGGTGGCGGAGGTGGTGGTGCTCCACAGTTGGCAAGGGGCGGAGGAGGAGGCGGAGGCGGGGGAGCAGGAACTGCAAAGACGGGTGGCGGCGGAGGAGGCGGGGGAGGAGGAGGTGGGGCCATGGCCGGTGCCTTTTCCTTATTTTCCTCAATTTCCCTTGCACTTTCCCTTGCCTTGAGGTTCTTTGAGGATTGCCCGCATTTGCAGGTGCCATCGCAATCCTCCCTTTCCGTTTGAGTTTCCGCGTCCGTGAAACTCTTCAAGCCACCCTCCAAGCCCGATTTATTGTATTCATAAACCGTCGCCTCACTGGCGTTCAACAGATCGGTGAGATTCACACATCTCTTCGAGGGACGACGCGGTGGTTCGTCCACACTGCTCAGCAGTTCATTGACCACCGCATGAACCTCGGCCAAGGTGGAGCAGTTGAGCAGTCGCTTCTTGAGGATCTGCTGCAGGGTCTTCTGGTTGTCCGAGGATGCCGTGGATGCAGTGGCAACGGTGGCCAACGATCCCCCCGCTGCACCTGCGCCCAGGGAGGCCAAGGATGCCGACTCCAGGGCTCGGATCCCGGACGGTGTGCTGGAGAAGGGCCAGGCCGCCACCTTGTCCAGTTTCCCTGGGGTCAGGGGCAGCGATGTCGTCGGCTGCTCCGTGTGCGTCCACTGGTACATCTCATAGGGCTGGGGAATTGGCAAATTAAATAAAATTATTATTATCAACAGTTATGAATCCCTTTAAAACAAGATGAATCTGAAACTGATATTATAGTAAATTCTAAAACTAAATTATTAATAAATAGTTACGTTAATATTTTGAGTGATGTATTTTATATCCTTTGTTATTATGAACCATTCTTATCTTCAATCCTTACAGATATATTTATAGATATATAGAAGATTAACAGAAGGATAAAGATACATATTCGAACTTTATTTCGCTATTGAAACCACAGCATTATGGTAAATTCCTTTATTAAAATAGTATAAATTATTATTACGAATACTTTAAAACATGCATTTGAAGTCCTCTATTAATAATCGTATAAGTCGATAACAAAATCATGGATTTTTAAAACGTACGTCACTCTTTTTTTATCACCCTCTTAACACACAGTGGTTATTATTCCCTTTATACGCAACCAATAACTTCTAATTGCCAGTCGAGTGGGAGAGAAAATAAAAGAAAAGGACAGCCAGAGATGCAGAGAAAGAGACGGCAAGTGGTCTCCAGTGTGCGACAAGCGAGAAAGCTTAAAAGCACCTAAGTTTGCCTAAGTTCGCTTTATTTTCTGCAATTCTCTTGTATTTTCTTAGCATGCAAAACTCCTTCGATTTTGATGGTGCATGTCGCCGTTGACTTTTCAGTCCCACTGTGGGAATTGTATTTCCTAGTCGTCAAAAAAAGGAGAAGAAAGTATAGAATATACTTAAACAAAAGTTGTTCTGCTCTAAGATTTAAGATAGTATAGCATGTTATTGATAAAAATATGCCAGAAATATATATGGCTGATTTAAGAGTTAAGATTTATGTGAAATATATGTAACTTCACTTCAGCTGCTATAAAGAATTAAATAAAACAAATTTACCAGAGAGATATAATGCGAGGTAATGCCCCTCCCCCCTAAAATTACACTTTACCGAGTGACACAAAGATGACAAATGCAATTAAAATTGCAATTTAATTATGCCGTTAACAAGTGGTGCTTAAACCGAGACATAGATACACACCCACACATTCAGGCAGTCAACGCTAATCAGTCAAAGAACTGGGAACTTGACAAATGCAAATCAAGTGCAACATCCTGTCCCGATGGCTGATTTCGTAGCTGAGCACACACAGTATGGCCGTATAGCCCATAAGGGTTTATCCTTATAGAGGGTGGGGCAGAGTCAAGTTTATCGCACTTTACACCATTTGTGCCCAAGTGTTTGCCGGTGATTTGCATGTTGTTTGCACATTTTAAAGAACCGAAGCGGACCGGAGTTACCCGAGAAAGCCACAACTAACTGAAGTGCAACCCAACACTCCCCGAAAACCGAAACCCAAAAAGAAAAAGAAAAACCTAACCATAAGAGACCACATGAAGGTGAGCAAACTAACGGAAAATGCAAAGTGCAATAGTGAAAAAGTTGGAAAAACGTGAAAATTGGTTGAAAAAATACTGCTTTAAATGTTTTTTGGGTTTTTTGTGGGAATACAAAGAGTCACACATTCTATTTTATTGGTCCTTAAAAATTAATTAGTCGCATTTAAAATCAATAAAAGAAAATCAAATATTCCCAAATGACCAAAAATAAGTTAAGAGTTGATGGGGATAAGACAGAATAGCAACATTGGTTACATATATTTGATTTCAACACTCTTTGGGTGATTATAACACAATTTTAGCCAGATTGCCAGCTTGGTATTACCCCATTCCCACTTAATTAACAACAACATCGTCGAGTTCTGTTCACCCTAATCCCATCAGCCATTTGATACATCCCCCTAATATATATATTTATATAGATGCGTAATTTATATAGTTAAATAACAATCGAACACGCGTACACACACTCGCAGCCTAACAAACCAATAGACACGAACTCTTAGTAGTTACATTTTGCACATTCAAATCCAGTTTGCTCATTTTTGCATCAAAGTTTCGTTTGTTCCGGCAGAATCTAAAGAATAATGCTCTGTTCGATGGGGAAGGGAAAAACTTTCGACTCCGGGTAATAAAAACGCACAAACTTTCAATGAGCTGCAGCAACAATAACAAAGAAACAGAGGGACTACGGCATAAAAAATATAAGGCTACAGTAATACCTCCAGAATATATGCAACAAACTTCGCAAGTTCGAAGTTTAAAAAAGATGGCATAATAAAAAATTTCTTTCTAGAGTTTTTAAATCACTGTTAGATTTGTGTAAAAGTATGCAATAAAATATTTTGAATTGAATACTGCATTCTTTCAGACACCGTCTTAAGAGATTTAAAAACTCCACTGACTTTTGAAGATTTGTCTAAGTGTGGAACAAAATATTTCGAACCGAAACCACTGCATATTTTCAGACAACGTCCTAAGAGATTACGAAACCCCACTGATTTTCGTAGCACCTCCTTTAATCAAAGTTAATTGCTTATAGAGCTAAAGATTTCAATGCCAGCTAGCGACAAAGTACTGTACAAATAAAACACCAACTAAAGTCAAAGTCGAACAACGAACCTTTGACACAGAGTCCCCATCTCTTTCGCTCCCTGCTGAGCTGGCCTGTTGCCCAAAAAGTTCGAACAAATTTCAGAGACATCGGAGACGTCGTCGGATATACACATATATATATGTATATCTAGGTATATATCTACTTGGCAGCCAGTTGAAGAAATTCGTGATATCATAATCTTGAGCTCAAGTATCATCACATAGAAAATCACTTAACGGTGTCGTCTGCCGCCCTCGTCCCCCGATTTGCCGCGCCCCCTCTTCGGGCTATATGTATGTGCTTATGTTTGGGCCTCTCAGGGATTTGAGGTTAAGCTGCTGTGGCTAAAACTTTTGGCCTAAACTAATTTGAGGGCTATATCTAGTGCTTCATTATTTGCGGTGGCTTTTGGTTGTTGTACGTTGTTGGTTGTTGGTTGTTCCCTGGTTGTTGTCGTTATTTCTGGTCTGTTGTTCCTGCTGTCGCCTGTCTAATAACACTTAACTGGGTCTCGGTTTACAGCCCTCGAAATGTAAATGGGGCCAGCTTCTTGGGCATCTTTTTCCACTGGGCAATTAAAGCCTTCCGCCTGCCGCCCAAACTGCTTGTTTATTTAGCTTTCTGGTCAAGAGCAGTGCTAAATGCTAAATGGTAAATGGTAAATGGTATATGGCAAATGCCAGGCTAAGCTGCACCCGATGATATGGCCAACTATTATGGAGTCCATTAGGCCCGGCAGATGAAGATGACCATCGCCAGATGGTTGCCAAAGAGTTGGACAAAGAACGAGTGGATAAAAAGGAAACGGGCGTTTTAGCAGGGTGATATTAAAGGTCTCGGTTTTCGCCATGCACTTGGGGAAATTTAATAGGTTTATATTTTTAAACTTCAGCTTAGTTCTATATAATTGAAGTTGATATTGTACATTTTAGGGGGTTTACAATAGCTTTTAATTTTCAATTAAGTATGTAACAGAATATTCAGACTTCTTTTTAAGAAATTAAAGAAAGTTGTTAATTTACTGCATACTTTTCGACCGTTTTATAGTCGATATTAAAACCCTCGTTATCTCTAAGCTTATTATCGAACTTATTTCATTTTATAAATTTTATATATATTAAATATTCTTGTTAGTGGACTTGTTATTTAACTCCATAATTTTTTTGAGTGTCCAGCTTTGGTTTCATAATTTCGCATGCGGCAAAACAACAAAATCAACAGCGAGAGCGTAAAATTGTTAATGCTGGCAAAGAGAACTTGGCTTTTGATAGTTGACGGCTGCCGACTGCAAAGTTTTAACAACTTCTGACACTTGCAGGCGGGGGTGCCAAGGGGCGTGGCCGGGGTCAGATGGACAACCGCTGTAGCTCGGTTAAATGAAAGTGCAACGAAGGCTTGGTCTTTCCTTTTATTTCTAGTTTTTTATTCTGCCTTCTTTTTTTGCAATGGAATTGCTAATTTCCGGGCACAACTTTGCGGTTCAGTTTTGCACAACTTTTCACTGCAACTTCGACGAGCGACAGACAACGCTGCGTATGAGTAACATTATGCAGAGAGGCCATAAGTTGAAGGTCCTGGCGCCCAAGAGGCCTCGGGCTAAGTCCGGACCATCAGAGCACTGGCAAAATTAGCCACGATTAGGCTGTCAAAATTCACAGATTACCAAGCCATAAACGTGGCCTAAAAGGGGTGGGTATGGTTCAGATAAGTACTGAACTACCATAAAAACTCTGATAAAATCATATATTTTTAATTATTGAATGAGCTTAAATTGAAAAGTATCTTTTAAAAAGTAATTTTTAGTTGGTCCTAAAAAACTGTTCTCTACCAGCAACAGATATTTCTTTAAAACATGTAATAAAAAAATGTATCCCCAAATTCCCAACCCCTTCTATTAATACTGAAAATAAAATTGAATTTTAAAATCTTAACTTTTTCCATATTTTTAAAAAAAAGGAGGTATTATACACAACTTTCTTCCAGTGCCGTACCGACAGTCATTATCAATAGTTTTTCCTGAAACGCTAATGACTTGAAAGTTAGTTTAGCTGCCCCTTAGATCTGCTAACCCTTTGCCCAGATTTTCCATCCTGTTCGCCCAGTCCAAACTCAACGCGCTGTCATCATTTCCGGCGAAGCCGTGGCAACTTCCGCCCTGTTAGCGCCCCTCAGTTAGGAACCCCTCCTCACGAAAGAGATGACCAATTTCCGGGGAATAAAAGTGCATTGAACTCACGCTAAATCCGCAATCCAAGTGCTCATTGGAGATCTGCTTGAGGACGCCGACATATTTGAGATTATTGCAGAATTGCAGCGCTAGAGAATTAAATAATTCCTGATTGGCGTCACTGGGTGAACTCTTCGGGTTGCTCTGCATCGTTGAGATTAGCCATTTTATTAGCATTTGACCTGAAAGAAACGAAAAAAACAGTTGTAACTGAATTAAATAACTTTGATCACAGCTGGTCCACTTATTCACTCGTTCTCCTAAAAATAAAAGAAAACTTGTAGCCATTCAGCAGAGAGATTTATGGGTGAGAGACGCTTGGGGTGAAGCAACTCCCAGGCGGAGGGCCCTAAAAAATGTGGAATAAATAATTTTCTGGGGTGAAAGTCAGACAAAAAGCTGGCCGAGAATAGTACTAATCGATGGGGCCCAAAATAGATACCCTACGATTTTTTCGTATCTATCCCTATTTCTTTTTTGAGGATTAGAATAATAATTGGTATCTATGAATGAATTATAAGTATAGTAAATAGTTTTTTGGAGTGCAGTTACGAACTGGGCTAAGTCCCTTTAATCATGTGTCTTTTTTGTTATAAAGTCCCATGACTAATAGATCGATAAGATAAACAAAGAAAATCCTGTTAATTAAAAAAGAGTCCACAAATTATCGGTGTAGAGGGCTATATAAGAGATATAAATCTTTGATTTATTTTTGGTTATTAAAAAGGTTTAATAATAAGATATAATATAGTTAAGACTTTAAGTATTGATGAATTCATAGTAAACGGTTTAGAGGGAAAAACTTTTGTATTTAAAATAGTCTTATCTCTGGACTTAGTATATTAGCTTTTAACCTAACAGCTTCAGCTTTATGTTTTTGATTATTTTTATATTTTCTTAGAACTAGAAACCTTTAAAATTTCTTGATTCTGCTCATAACTGAGGGACTTTCACAACCGACTAAAACGCAAACAAACTTTTTGTAGCCAAAAAAAATCGAGAAAAGAAACAAACTTACGCTGGCTGTCAGCGTATGAGAGGGAAACTGTTTGCCGGAGCAGCTGGAGCAGATGTTTTGGGTCAGAGGTCGAGATCTCGAGCAGGTCAATGCGTATCCGTCGGATGCGTAGGCTAATTCCTGCGGCATCAGGTGGTGGCTCCTCTCTCCCTGGTTTTCCCCGGGAAAATCGAGTTCTCTGCGCCCGCCAGGCGACCAATGACATTAGTTGGAGATAATGCGGTGGGAGATTGGGAACATCCTCCTGAGAATTCCATTGCGATTCCCCTTCCGATGCGAATTCCAATTCCTTCGATGGCTGTTTGGCCAGCAGAGAACACCAAACGTTGCTCAGGGCACTGGACATATATATACACTATAAAGTATCTCTTCTGGATCGACAGACCTAGTTGAACTTTCTCTGTCTAATAACAAACTAAAACTGCCTAAGCGAATTCGCCAGTGTTTTTCGATTAGCGCAAAAAATTGAAATGTTGTCAAAACTTATCAACATTATCAATGCCTTGAACATGACAACTGCGGCACTCTCGACAACCTCTGCTTGCACACTGTACAAAAAATATAAATGTTTAAAAAATTCATGAAAAAAAGATTTTATTTCAAATTCAGAAAATTCCATGTCAACCACCTTAGCAGTTATTTTTAAAAATTACAGATATGGTAGCAAAAATACTTTAAACAAAAACAATATGTGACACGATTTAAGGTCTGTTTAAGCTGAGAAAACTTCTGGAAACAGTTTGAACAAATGTGCACAGATTATCGTTTTCTTCTGAGTGTAGATAAGATTGCAGTTGTTGAAAGAGCGAAAACTAGACAAGTAGAGTAATATTAGTTGGCCCTGAGAAGGTCGCCTGCATTATCAGTCATGGTTATTTTTTGATAGGGTTTCACCGCTCTCTTCCATTAAATCATTTGTCTAAATTTACAACGAGCTCTTCAAGCACGTCATTATTTTCTTTAATCATCGGGGTTAAATTTCGGCATAAATTGAACTGAATCAAACGTTTTTTTCCCATTTGTTATATCTACAGGTTTGTTTTGGTTTTCCAAGGGTCCTATCTTTTAATAACCCTTACGGAAAGTGAAGTGTTGCTCCTTTCAGAACTTTAGATAGCTGAAAAATCAGATTGATAGTGTCTGTGAAACTGATGTGAACAGTGATAGATTAAATCGGTTATATAAGGCGCCTTTAAAGATTGAGTGACGCAAATCAATAAATTTAAACTGCACCACGTGGTGACTTGACTTGAATTTAAAAAAGAATATAAATATATGAAAAAATTTATTTATGGAAAGTGTAGATACACTAATGACAGTTTAATAAGTGTACTAAAGAGAGAGAGATTTAAATGTTCAGATTTCAGGAAAAATATCGACTTATGCCTATTTACAAATTAGAAAACTTCCTATTTTGAGGAACTCCTATAAAATTAAGATACTTCCTTTAATACATTTTTCCTGCTATCTTCCAAAGGACCTCGCTGGTTGTTTCCTTTCCATCAACAGTATCTATATCTAACCCCCACGGACTCATCGGAATTGGGTTCACAAGATCATTAGCACCCACCGCATGCAAAGTTGATGCCGAGGATTGCCATTTTGATATCGATGATGGCATCATTTTGGGGGGCGGACCGGAAGGAAGTGCCGGCTTAGCTGGTCATCGGTGGCCGAATCCTCGTTCCAATCCTCATCCTCATCAGCAGGCGGTATCTTTGTTGTTCCTGCCCCAAATGTCGTTGTTTTCTGTTGTTGCTGCGCTTGGCCTTTATTGCTGGCGCCGTCGCGGCGTTGTGGCAAGCGGGTTTCCAGTTTTGATGAAAACTGCGCCACCGACGACGCACAACAAATTTGCATAACTGCTTGCCAGGCGAATGCAACCACCGTGCACGGAAAGAAATATTTAATAAAACTAGTTTATTCAATTTTTTGTAAACCTACAAGTGAAATTTTCTAAGGTATGACAAAATCCACTGTTTTGTTGAGAAGGGGCTGTTTATTTATTTGGGAATCCACATCGTATCGTATATTTATATTTATATATATTTATATATATATTTATATTTTTAAATCTTCTTCTAAAAACGTAATATAGTTCAAAATATAGGTACAACATTTTCAAATGGAAGTCTTTGTGCAGGCTGTATATTTTTTTTAATATTGTGTGTTTTTTTGTAAATATATTGTGTTACTCAGCGTATCATTTATTTACTTAGATCTCTAAATAAACTTTTGAAAAATAATAAAAGATTGCAAGCTGTTTATTAACAGAAATAAGTTTATTCATTAGTTTATTAACTAAAATAAATAAAGATCACATTTACTACTTGTGATTTTTTTCAGTGCTGGTTGGGTGGTGGGTGTACGAAGCGGCTTAGAAGTGGGTGGTGCGATGGGTGGCAGCGGTTTTTGGCGCCTCACGCATGCATGCGTTGCATTCATCAACGGCAGAGTGGCGTCCGCTCTCTTCACTCCGACAAACAGAACGGATGAGAGCGAAACGATGCCACAAAACCACAAGGCAGAATGCAAAATGAAGCAATGAAGATGCAGTAAAGAAACGGACTAAAGCGACTCCCAAATACCCAGGTATATATATATTTAGGATATTTAAAATAGGGTTGAAACTGGATCCTCCTAAGAAATATTTTTTATTTTATGAGAAGTAAAAAATTTCAACAATTTTAAAAAACCCACTTTTTTAGTACGAATTTGTAATGTATTTCCCTAAAGTAATATTAATATTATTAAGAAATATTATTATTCTAGTTAATCATATGAAATATTTTTGGTACTCAATGTTTCCTGCAATTTCGCCTACAATATACCAACGATTACGAGGTATTTTAAGTAGAGGAAGTGAGCTCTATAGCAGTTACTTCCTCTTACCCGAAAAAATATTGTTTCATTACGCGATGGCCGAAAACATTGTCGTCTACACTTCGTGGCAGGCAGAGCTCCTTCAAGTTGGCTTTCCCCACCCAAATGGTGGCCCTCATCCCGGCCAGAATCACTTCATCCAAGCGACGCTGGCGAACGTGATGTTGTCGGGCATATAAATCAGATTTTTGGTCCGAAAGCGGTGCCGGACGTTGCCTGATGAAAAGTCGCGACAAACAGCTTCTGCCTTTATCCCTCGTCCATCCCGAATTTTCCCAGTCGCATCCCATCTTCCTGAAAAGCCACGAAGAATTGATGGCCACTTCAGAGACAATGACGTCGACGACGAAAACGCGAGATGCGAAAGACGCACTGGGGAAAAATTCTATCTATGTGGGGATATTGCTTATATATGACATACAGACATTTAATATATCATACCCAATTAAAACATTTTAGTTCTTAGGAAATACTTATATGAAAATATTAAACAATTCCATTAAAATAAATATTGCTGGTTCTATTTCTTTTATGATAATATCCCTCTATCATGTCCCGATCAAAAAATTATATCTTGAAAAAAATACTTGTTTTCATTATATAAGCAATCAAAATTCTTTAAAATATTTAAATTTTACAGAAAATGTATAAAAAATATTGTTTTTTTTTTATAATTTAGGCTAAGCATTTTTTCCAAGTGCAGCAAATTGCGTGACCAGCCGCACTCCGTATTCCCTCCCCCCTCAGTTTGCCAGAAAAACCCCCCATGTTGCAGATTCTCTTCTTCTTCGCTTGTTTGCCCAGCGAGGCGTTAAAATGTTTGTTTGCATTAATTTGCAGCAGACGACAACGGGCGATGAGGATGAGGATGATGATGATGATGGCGGAGGATCAGGATCCCCGGGTGCTGAAAAGCGGGAAGGCTGACAACGATGAGCTTACCAATTAGCGCTTTTTGCCCCCTCCCATACCGCCCACCGGTGGGCGTGGCATGTGTCAAAAACTGCGCCTCCAAAATGCCCGCGATGCGTTTGAAGCGAAAGTTTTCAGGCTTTTCACTTTGCAAATTTTTGGGTGAGGGGGATTTTTGGAAATAGTTTCGTCCAAGAGCCGGAAATTTGCAGACGGAATTTTCGAACGCACAACAATGTGAGCAAAGAGTATTAATATTTACGGTGGACTTTCGATATTAAGAAGTTTTAGGAAAGTAACTAATCTGGGAAATGGAATTTGGTTAGTTAGAAAACTTTGATTAAACTACAAAGTAAATCCTCTTATAAATGGTGGTTTGAAAAGTATGTGCTTGATTTACAGTTCAAGTAAAATAGAGATATTTGCTGTTAGCATTTAAATCATGTTTGTAAGAGATGATCCTTACTCTTAATAGGCAGTAGCAACTATTTTAATTTAAACGATGTTCTTAAAAATTCCCATCAAAATAACTTGATAAACTGGGAACATATTTTTCGTTACAGAGTGAATACTGTATAGACACATCTTCTCACATGTGCAAAAATTCCAGAGATTTTCACTCTTGGGAGACGAACTTACCGTCTTTCCCCGAAAGTATGCCACACATTTTTGGGCTGTGAGGGAGGTGCAACTAGAATAGACTATATGGAATACGTATACCTATGTGCGTGTGCACTTCAAACACTTGCGAAAATGCTAACCTGGCAAGTTTTGCCCCTCCTCTCCTCTATTTACATACAAAATTTCCCAATTATGCAATCATTCAACTTGATTTGGCTTGCTTTTCTTGACTGATTTCCAGAAGGAAAATTGCAAGACGGGTGGTGAGGGTGGGTGGGAAAGTGTGCTGGAGCTGAAGCAGGCAAATTAATTGTTAACTTTAAGCAAACAACAAACGCAATCAAACGTGGAGCACCGGCAGAAAAAAGAATGAAAGGGAAGAGAAACGGAAAGGGAAATAAAATTAAATGTTTCCCGAGAAACGACACAAAAGGCAAACAGTAAATGCGCAGAAATCGCAGAGGTAACCTTTATATTCCTCCCGCCAAAATCCCTTTCCCCAGACCTCTTTTCTTGTTTTTTCCCGATGTTCCTGCCTTTGGCATCGCTTCACTGGAGTCGCAGATTGAAGCATAAAGCTCAGCTCAAAAATGCGAGAGCACTGGGTTAATACTCTAAAAGACTTTCTACGAACGTAGTGAAAGGAAACATCAACTAAAAAATGGCATTACAAAATCTGAACAAAGAGCTCTTTCAGTTATATTTTAATTGGGAACTCCTTGAAAGCGATTCATAACCTTTTAAACTTTAATAACTGAATCTAAAAATATTATCATTTTTAGATTTTTTAAAATTCCAAGTTACTTGGATCAACCATATATGAGGGGATGTTTTTGACGTTATAGGAAATATATATAAAATAATATATATTATAAAAATTCCATATTAATTAGCACTCAATATTATTTGAAGCCATCTTTAGGAAAATAGTTATGTAATAAAAATAAGGAAAGATACCATCTTAGTTCCCCTTAAATATTTTCCAATATTAATGAGACTTTTCCCATGCCCACCTCTTAACTTTAGAGTATTTAAACACGAATATTTGGGCAAACTTACCTTCGAACTTTTCATATGCAGCGAAGCTTAACTTTTCCGGTACATAAGATGAGCCACGTCGCGAACCAGCTCCACTGGCCACGCCCCCTGCGCCGCCCACGGCTGAATCGGGCGGTAGGGTTGCCACCAGCAGCGAAGATGAGACTGGAGTGGCCAGCAGGGTGGTCTCGTCACTGGCGGGGCCCAGATTCGGGGGATTGGAGCTATTATTGCCAGCCGAAGATTTCTCGACCGTGAAGCTGGCGACCTTCTTCAGCACATTGCTCGACAAAAGGGGCGTGGTGGGCGTGCCGAAGCCGGGGGGCGGCGGTGGGAGGGGCAGGGGCGCCGTGTCATCCTCAACGTTTTCAGAGGCGGCTGCAGAATTCGTTTGAGACTGCACAGGTGTTTGAGATGATTTAAACGAAATTATAACAGTTGATTGCGTTTCCAGCGACGACGAAGGTCCCGAAAGTCCTGTAGCTCCTGTGGAAAACGAATGAATGACGAGGCAATGGCATTAGCTGGATAAATTTGTATAGAAATTCCCGCGATGCTTAAATAAGTGAAAAATTGAGGATAAACGTATTCCTGGCAGCGCATAAGTCACTTCCCATAATTACTGGTTAAATTCTAGAATATTCGGCAAACAGGCGCCGCCCATCATTTATCATTTTTGCCAGGGGGAAAATTCTGAATAGTCAGGTATTTGAGGGAAAATGTAAAGCTTTTTGCTTTGGGAGGCCCCTTTCGGGCAGTTTTTGATTTACATTTCATCATCAAGCCAATATTTAGATGATTTGCACTCATTATGTCAAAATTTATGGGCAGCAGCATACCACTGCCCCTTTCTAAAAATAAACATTTAAAATGGGAAAGTAAGTCTTTTGAAGGACGCTTAACAAATATTTTCTCAAGCTCTGTATCTTGCTCTTTAATAATCACCAACCGCTGTCAATTTTTAAATGATTTACATTAAATCGAAATTCGCGTTCGCCTGCTCCGCCACCAAAAATAAACATATAATATTTTTAGTGCATTAAATCTTCCCCTGGCTCCCTGATCCCTGATTTCGAGGAACAAATTTTTATGGTCCCTCCTCTGCGATTGAGTAGACCCAGTGGAGCGCTTATCGCAGCCCATCATCATTGACTGTGTGCCCGAGTGGTTCCTTCCCCGCCCTTCGATTCGGCGGATAACTCCCGCGTGCATCATTCTATATAACATGATTTAATTAAAATTTAAACTTTCTTTTTTTTGGGAATTTTGCCTGCTTCCCTGCGGAGCCACAATGGGGAATCAACAAAGTCGGGGGCAAAAAGGAACTGGAGCTGCGCCTGAAGCGCCTGTTTCCGGCCAACATTTTGTAAACAATGAAGACGTGTTTGCAATTTTTAAGTTTTTACAAATGTTTTTTTGGTGTTGGTAGGTAGTATTTTTTACCCCAGCCAGAGGGGCCGGAAAAAGCAGCGAACCATGCTCGCCTTTGTTTATTTTTTGTTTATCGAGCCGAGCGAGTTGGGCCAACGCAATTAGGTGAATTTCGGAGCGGGGGATACTCGGCGATTCGGGGGCAATTATATATTTAAAATATCATGTGGGGGCGGAGGAAAACGAGTCCTTGCATAAATGTGCCAATAATTACTTTCGGGTCCCTGCCTGTTTTTGTTCAATCTTTTTTCGGCAGTTTTCTCGCGCTTTTTTGTGTTACAAAAGCGCCGCTGATCGGATCAGTTTTGAAAACAAAGAGTGTTGGTTGGTGGAGTAAGGGGAAAATGGGAAGACTGTTGCTACATGAGTTAATTAAAAAACTTTGCATTAAGGTCCAAGGGCGAACCCTTTTTTCTTGCGGTTTTCTTTTCTCTATAAGGTTCTATAATATGAAAAGGGAATTTTCTATTTCAAATAATTACTTCATATTTTGAATGCTTATTAACTTCAAGTGTTTTCATGTTTGGTTCAGACAACTCTATTTAAATTAGCTCTTTTAAATGCTTCTAACCCACGCTTAACTGCGTAAATAGTACTGTAATGAATAGAATTAGTTAAGAGGTTCAAGAAGTGTTAAGGCGTAGACTGCTACTCCAGTTTTTTAACTTTCACCTTCGAAGAGGACTATGGGCTTTTCAATTTTGGAAAAGGAAAACAGCACTCCGAACTACAGTTTGACAAGCACTCCTGTGCGACCCGTGTTTACCTTTGAAATTGGCGCAGAGCGAAATAAGCAACAATCTGCTCAAAAAAAGGGACAACCTTTTAGACATGTCTCTTCCTTCATTTTTTTGGGCTGAAGGACCACTTTCTAGCGCACACATATGGCGACACAACAAACAAGGCCAAAAACTGGTAGATTGGCATTTTTAAAGGGTGGATGTATAGGCCTTTTAAAAAATTCTTTTAGGGGCTTTCAACCTCATTTCTCTTGGTTATACGATTAATTCATTAATCAGTAATTGCTCTATGCAAACTATGTGTACTAATTTAATTTTAGATTTTACTAAACAATGAACTTTATCGAAAATCTTTAAATTGCTTTAAACACTTTGCATATTTTAACAATAGTTCGAAATTACCTCTTTTGTCTAAAATGGTTTTTATTTGCGTGAATGGATGGTCGTTTAAAATTAAATTAATTGTTGTCCTCGGGCCAAAAACACACGATAAGCAAGAAGCTTTAATAATACGTAAATTAAATGCAATTAGTTTAACTTGATATTTACACTTCATCACTATATCAATTGAAGTTTTAAATAATAGATTAAATGCCTTATCAATAAAGTTAAGATTTATCATTACTAGCATAGGCGCACTTTCTAGAAAGAATACTATTTATAAAGAACTTATTGGAAAAGGGGTTTTTGTTAACTGACTAATGAAATACCCTCTTCTAAATCTATTCTTACCTGTTTCGTTTGGTGTTGATGAGACAACACCTGGCGGTGTCTGACTAACGGCTGCTGTGAATCGGGAGGATAGGTTCTGTAGCTCGACCTTTTTGGCCTTGGAAACGTTGAAGAGCTCCCCGTTTCCCAGGGGCGAGTCCACGCGGGGTCCCGATCCCTCCATACTCCCCGGGGTCAAGGGGGTTCCCGATCCACTGCCCAAGACTTGGGCCAACTTCTTGCCCAACTGCAGGGCCATGAGTTCCTCGTCCGGCGAACTTTCGGCCGGGCTGTTGGGTGCTACCAAAAGATCGGTATTAAGCAATATGGTAGCCTGATCCGCCCGATCCTCGACTTCCTGGGGGTCATTGGCTATGCTGAGGTAGGTAACGCGGGTTAGGCTCAGGCAGGCCAATTTGTCAGCTCGACAGCGTTTCTGCAGCTCAAGGACTGCCTTCGCGGTGTTCGGCGATAGTGTGTCCACCGAAGTCACACTGATTTCGCTCAGTGGACGATCGCGCTTCGATTTTTGATTAACGTCGGTCCTAGCTGCATTTAGGTAGTGCTTGTTTACGATCAGTTCGTCGACGGGATCTGTGAATAGGGAATCATTGCTTGAACAACTGGTGCACAACGACCTCCGATCGTAGGGATAATGGCGGTTGATTTGATGGGTTCGATGATTGTGCTGGTGAAGTTGCCTCTGTCGCTGCTGCAGCTCCTGGTTTCGATGCTGAGTTAGGGTATCATTGGAGGCATAGCAACAATCGTCGCTGCTGCAATTGTGGTACTCTAGCGAATCGGTGTAGTCCAAACTGACCACGTCGTCTTTGTTTTCGGTTAGCAGTGTAGAGTGTTGGGGTTGAGTTGAGAAAGAGACAAGTGATATAGAGAAGTAGAAAGATTGCAGGAGGAGCTTAGAAGAGCCCTATGGAACATAATCAAACCAAACTATAAATGTCCAAAACATTTTAAAAAAATTAAAGTGCCAACATATAAGAAATGTATTATAAAATATATTGTTGATTTAAAACCTCATCAATATATGTATGGAGTTAAATTAAAAATTAAATTCTAGTTTCTGTCGATACAAAAAGTCAGATATTGTTATAGATGGATTTTTGATAGAGTTTAATAGATATTTATTTTTCTAATATTCAAATAAAATATCTTCCGCTCGCCGGAGTTTCTCTAAATAGTTTTCACCAAAGAGCCCAAAGTGCGATGAGCTCGCTGCTCAAATATTTGGAATTAAACAAAACAGTCTGCCAACTGCGGCTCAAAATGATTTATATGCCATTAATCCACGACGGCGGTGTCTCATTCACAAAAAAGCGACATGTGTAAGAAATAATAATTAAACAAAAGTAAATAAAAACAGGGCGCCACTGGAAGCCGGAAGAGAGTGTTCAAAAAAGAAGAGAGTGCTGTCTCAGAGAGACGGAAAACTGGAAAGCCGCAAAATTATGAAAACCTATATGGAAAATGGTCAGCTGGAAAGAAAAACAGGGGGAAAAAAGGTGTGTGCTTGCTGCGGGCCAAATGAAAATGAAAATGGGAAAGGTTCGAGAAAATCCCCCAAAAGGTAAACAAAGAAAACGCTACAAAACAGAACCCGAAAACTGGTTTTGGTTATGAAGAAAAGAGATGGGGATGGGGGTTTCGTTTCGGAAAAAAGCGTTGGCGTCAGTTGCCTTCTCTCTTTCAAAAGTAAATTGTTTAATTTGTTGTCCATGGGCAATTAAGGAAGGCAAATTGAAAGCAAAACAAGAGCCCAACTGGAAAGATGAACCCCGATAACAAAGGAAAAGGTACTCCCCTTTTCCCAGATATAAAAGAGTAGAGGAGTAACACCAAATAAACACCTGTAGAATGCTAATTCTGTCACTTGAAGGGCACTTTTCCCTATAAACATTCACTTTTCACTTTCTTCACACCGCATTCGTGTCTGCCCTTCTGAACTTTGGTTTATTTTGGTAATATCTATTTTTCCAGAGGGCTTTACGATTTCAACATGGAACGATCTGCGCGGAAGCGAGTTCAAAGCGTTACTAACAACCAACTGGTTTGGAATTAAAACCTACTGGAAAGTCAAAAGCCGCACAACAAAGAGAGAAACGGGAGAGACAGAGAGAGAGAGTGAACATATAGATATAGAGAGAACGCAAATCGGAGAACCGCCAGAGAAATATATATATTCATATATACACTTTTTGTTGACGGTCTTAAGCTCGAGTTACATGAAACGAAAGCAGAGCAGAAACGTGAAATGATCATATGAGATATGATCGACGACAGAAATCCCTCTTCATATGGAAAGGTAAATGGGAGAATGATAATAGTTAAGGTTCATAAAGATCTTTTTTATCCTATTCCATTGATACAGATAGGCACTATGAAATATATATGTGTACTTCCTAGGTTTTGAAGGTTTTGAAGATATTTAACAAGGAAGAACGCTATAGTCGAGTACCTCGACTATCAGATACCCGTTACTCAAAGGGAAATGGAGATATGCAAGCAGCAAAGCGAAATTAAAATGCGCCACCTACCGGCGGTAGACAGATTTAAGCGTTATGGGCGTTAGAGTGGGCGTGGCAGAATTATTTTTGGATCAATCGATAGGTATTGACGACACCAATACATTTCAGTTAAAATTATTTATCTAGCATGCAAATTGTGGGCGTCACAGGTTTTCGCGGTTTGTGGGCGTTTAAGTGGGCGTGGCAAACTTTTTTTTAGGTCAATCGATAGGTTTTGATGAGAAAAATACATTTCAGTTAAAATTTTCTATCTAGCATAAAAACTGTAGGAGTTACAGTTTTGGGCGGTTTGTGGGCGTTAGAGTGGGCGTGGCAGTCTACTGAAACAAACTTGCGCTGCGTAAGAAGCTCAGGAATCTGTACGCCAAATCTCAATAGCCTAGCTCTCATAGTTTCCGAGATCTCAGCGTTCATCCGGACGGACAGACAGACGGACAGACGGACAGACGGACAGACGGACAGACGGACAGACGGACATGGCTAGATCGACTCGGCTAGTGATCCTGATCAAGAATATATATACTTTATGGGGTCGGAAACGCTTCCTTCTGCCTGTTACATACTTTCCGACGAATCTAGTATACCCTTTTACTCTACGAGTAACGGGTATAAAAATACGTAAAGCTTACATTATAGAATGTTATCACCTAACCAGAATTCAGATAACTACTATGTTTAAATGTAAGTTTCCAAAATAATATCTTTATCGTGTTTTATACAAAGAGGTATTTTTTATATCCCATTTCTTTATCCATACCCTTTTTGACAAACAGATCGACAAACTCAGCATACCCAATGTTTCGAAAAAATAAGTACTAATTAGCAAAGCAGCGACGTCGAGGGCAAAAATTGCATGTGTTTTTGAACCGAGACTGAGCTTACCCGCAACCACTGTAGTTTTTCGCGTTGCTTCAGTGGTTTCTGCAAAAAGCTGTTCAATGAACGCACAGTGGTCATCGCTAGAGGCATTTTCCCCCCGGTTTTTTCTGGGTTTCGGTGGGGGTTTCGGCGGAGGTTGCGGTGCTACGCGTCTTTTGCGGGGCTGCTTGGTCATTGGGGAGTTTTTCTCTTGAACTTGCAGCTCCTCCCTCGATAGAATTCCCAAATATTCCTCTTCGTTTTGGATATTTTTGTGTTGAATCGAGAACTGACAGAGCTGGCTCAAATGGCAGCGATCCTCATTTTCGGCTTGTATTTGCAGTTGCTTTTTTAGTCTCGGCGGTTTTGCAGGCGCTTTACAAATAACGAAATCAGTTTGCATACTTTTGGTCTGCAGCATTTCAAAAATCTAGTATTTTTTGGTGACGAATGTAGTTGCTTTGTCAAACTTTTCTCAAATGGATAATATCATTTTCAAAGTTTTATTTTTTGGCGGGACTTAAAAGGTTGCTAGGAGGCAAGCCATAAGTGTATTTTTAAAATTTAAAAACATCCCAATCATACCTTCTGTTCATGGCTATTGAGCTTTGATCTTATTATTGCATTTAAAACGAATTTTGGATAGTTTTTGAGTAAATTTTTAGAAAAACTGACATTTTTAATAAATGCTACTGAGGATAGTTAACTGATGATGATAACAGAAATTGCATAAACATTTTTTAAGTTTATAAATATTCGGGACCAGTGTGTTAATATACACCTTAATTGTTATGGGTATTGATTTTTATTAAAGCTTTCTTTGTAATTATAGATTGACAGACTCAATACGTAAAATAGTTCTGTATTCGACATTCAGTTCCATTAAATGCTCCCAAAAGTATGCAAAACAAGAGTTGCAAAACGAATTTGGATTTGAATGTTCGGTATTTAAAACGCTCAGTTATTACAATATTATAAACAAATTGTAAACAACATTAGGCAGTTGTTAAAACTACACACATGGACAAATGGATGGTAGATGAGTGAGTTTACAACTTTACATGGAAATGTACAAGCGAAACTATTAAAACTAATTGCCATAAATATTAGCGGCCAGCCACGTGCCATGCCAAAAAAACTTTTTCACCATAATGTGCTTGTCTATACACCCAGAGAAAAAGTGCACAGTAAAATAAATAGATTCTTAAATAAAATGTTCATATTACACATTTAACATACAAGCACTTACAAATGAAATATGTACGTTTTATTAACATAAACTGGTTTTTAAAATAAATTTGTATGTAATTAGAAAATTGGAAAGTAGTCAATAAATTTTTAGATGGCACGAATCAGTTCGGAAATATTAAAATAAAAGTGTAGATATCAACATTTGCTATGATTTTTCCCTGGGTGTATATGTGTTGGTATTATAGGGTGTGTGTATTTGTGGGAGTGCGTGGATGTGGGCTTAATTGAGCACGTTGCTAAAACTCCGCCAAAGGCTGCAGTTTCCCTCAAAAAAAGGAGTCCTAACCAAAACTCAACGATGGGATGGTAAATCCACCTCCTCCAAATTTACCTCGGCTTTCCATGGTTTTTCCATCTGCTCTGGCGTATTTGATATCGTTTGCACAGTTTGAGGATGTGTTTTCTTTTCGTGGTAGGGGAAAGTAGGGAGCCACGATTTTTGGTATCTCACCAAATTATGCTCAACAGAAGTATTTGTATCACAAAAAAATTGATTTAATATAAATAAACAGGAACATAATTAAATTAGAGACTTTAAAAATCAAAAGATATCGCTAAGGAAAGCAGGAAAATACCAATCCCTTGTTAAGTGTCCTTATATAGAGAAATGTTTTTTCTGTTACATAAACAGAATGTTAGTTAGCACAAAGATGTATTAAGAACATAGAAGTATTATAAAGAACATAGGAAAAGAGTACTTTTTTAGACTACTGTTTCTAATAAAATGTAATTCAGATCATCGTAAAGCTGCCTATAGGTGATTAAACATTTTTTGTTTCTCAATCAGTTGGTCAAAAATTTATACCAAAAATAAAAGAAATTATTGTAAAATTTAAAAAAGTTGACTACACAGTACACTTTGCATTCGAGCGGTACTGATTGTCGGTACTTTATTCCTCGAGCCTTATGCGATTTGAGGGGTTCCCCGCCCCATTCCGCACCTCCTTTGGGCGCTCCTTTCTTGGCCCCATGAATTATGAATTTATGCATTGAAAAGGCCCCAAAAACAGCTGGGTGCGTGCGAGTGAATGAAAGGGAGAACCGCGTTGGGGACTATGGCTATATCATCTCTCTGGGCTGAAAGGGAATTTTTGATATAGGAGACCTCTCCCCGAATCCCTTCCTCGGCGAGGCACGTTTAGGATTTTTCGTTGATTTGATTTTAGGCTTTGCCCCGCTGCAATGCCAAAAAGCTTCTTGCATCCGAGGGCTGGAGGAGGCGGTTTTGATGGAGCATCTCTTTTCGCCTCTGAATTGCTTTTTGATATGCGCCTCAGCCTTGAACGCGTTTTTCGAATCTTTGTACAAGCGCGCGAAAAACACAGGCCCAAAAAAAAAAAAGTCCATCTAAAAAGGTTTGCCGAGTTAGTTCGCCTCAAAATTGAATGCATTTTGGAACCAACAAGTTTTTGAAGTATGATTAATAGATTTCTTTGGCCTTTAATATTAAAAATAATTTTAAAATTTTTATCTTGAATGAAAGGTGAATTTTTCGTGTTTTTAATTTGGTTAGGCCACCTAAACTTCTTTATATTTTAATCGAGTTTTTATCTCTTAATTTCTTATAGTGGGTAATTTAATTGGGGTATATCAAAGTCCATATAAAGGGTGTCTATTTATAGAGCACCCCTGCCATTTAAAACTATTTCCTTTGCTAACAAGAGCATTAAGAGTTCAGTTTTCGCGCGTCGTAACCCTTTCGCCCATCGAAATATTTTCCCAGCTTTGTGTGATTTTTTGGCGCTGTTTTTTTATTTGGGCAGTACGAGTCGCGTTTTTCTTTTGGCTGTTAATAGACAGTCGTGAGTTTTTGAAGTGGGTCTCTGTTCCTTGGACCTGTTTTTTGGGTTCTGTTTTGTGTTTCTGATGTCTGATGCTTTTTTTATGGTTTATTTTTTCGCATTTTCAGTTTCCCAGTTGCTGAGTTATGATGGCGAACGTGCTTTGGAGCTTCTGTTTATGTTTTGGTGTGTGTGCTGCCGCTTGGCTTAATATTTTTAAAGGGGGCATCTTAAAGATTTCACATGAATAACTAAAATCTATAAATTTTTGATTTCACTTTGCCAAAAAAGAGAAAGAGAGAAAAACACAAGAGCGCTCTAAGTAAAAAATATTATTTTGCCAAGGCAAAATGCCAATAAGTTACAAGCTACCGAAAAACTTCGGAATTTTTGGCTTCGATGAAGGATGATATATAAGTGGGAAGAAAATCGTGGATAAGGGGAGTTTTTGTAAGAGAAGAAGGTGAATCAACAACAACAAATATAACAACAGAGGGAAGCTGGAAAATTCGGAAAAGTCAAGCGTTGGGAAAAAGGTGGGAAAATAAAGGAACGATAGGGTAAAAGAAATTTCATAAAAAACTTCAATAAAAAGTTTATTTTTTGTTCGCCTTCTTGTTGTTGTTGTAAAAGTTTTCCGAAAAATTCTTATTTAAACTCCGCTTAAATTGCAATAAAGTTGAGTTGAAGTGAGTTTGATGGACAGTCTGTTTCAATAATTTTAAAGCTCGGAGATGGGTAGTTAAATAAATTGTATTAAACATAAAATGTTATGAATTGTATTACTTTCATATACATTTCCAAGCTCAATAGCTCACATTTTATTCAAAAAACATTGTGCAAAATGTACAATAAATATTTTAATTGCAAGTATTAAACTGGCATCAATTAAACTTATCGATTAGGTGAAAATATAGTTGATAATTAATGAAAGAACACAATTAAGGCAACTAACGATTGCACACAATTATCCATTTAAATGCCAATTATTTCCTTCTCACATTTCTGACAAATTTAATTGCTGTCATATTGGGTTTCCTACTGAATATAAAAAGATTTCAAAATGAATGTTGACCATTTGTCAATTGAGCAAGTTGACAATTGACCTTACAGCTCCGGGCGGCACTGTAGTCTGGAGCTGTGGAGTTCTTTATTAAAAAAAGTCTCCAAACAAAAAGTAAAAATAAAAGCTGAAAAATTCAAAGCAACGATAGAGGTAAAAATAAAGTTGGCATATTGAAAAATGCAAGGAAGAAAAAAGGGCAAACCATTTTTTTTAGAAATAGAAAAGCTGACAAACTGAATTTGATGCACACCAACAATAACATCCAGAATTACAACAACAAATAAAGTTAAGTCCTCAACAAGGAATAAACAATATAAATAGCAACAGCAAAAAATGACTGCACAGAGAAAAATAAAACTAGGTTTTTGTAATATATAATTGTTTTTTGACAAATCATGTTTTTGTAAATTAGTTTAATGCAATATTATAAAAAATTATAGAAAATGCTAATATCTTTATTTTCAATAAAGAGTCATGAAGTTGAATATACAACATTTATTTTTAATATATTTACATATTGTAAATATTCTTCAGACTTCTTTTAAAATAAATAAATAGGTTACATATTTTTAGGGACTCTGTAAAATTAAAACCCCTTTATTTTTTCTCTGTACACTATGCTATGGGAAATTTGAAATTGACTTACGAAAATCGATTTGTTCGGCACTGGTATTCAATTGTCCATGCTCCACTTCCGTTTCCGCTGCGGTCCAATCGCAACTTCCGTCGCCGCCGCCCGCCAAATTGACCTCTAGACTCGAGCCCGTTTTCGGCGAGTGTAGGAATGCCTCGCGAATGCGTTTCTGGCCCATCAACCGGGTGAGGACGCGGACTCGGCTGTTCCGCCTTTCGACAAGGGCCCCGCCCACTCCGCCTGCGCCACCGCCTCCTGCCACTCCCACCCGCAGAAGAGTGGCGCCACCTGGCGGTGACTTTTCATCGGTGTTCGCCGAGCGATTTTGCGAATTCCCCATGTTGTTGTGGTCGTGCTGCAAAAGAAGTTTACAAAAATCAATTAAAAAACTTTTCAATCAGTCGCATTGTTTGCTTCGGGTTTTCAACAATTTTTTCTTTATACAATTTTACCAGGTTTATTCTATGAATGCGTGGGGGTTTCGTGAAGTGGGTGGCGCAATTTCAAAAAGCGGAGAAATTTACAATTTAAAATACGTTTATAAGAATTTGTAAATTGTATATTTGTGGTTGATTATCCATGCAATATTTGTTTTAATAAATGAGGGAATTTGGAATCCTTGAAACATTGAACATGTTAAGGTTAAAAGGGTAAATAAAATACTTAAGTTTTATCATTTACTTTAATATGTTGTTAAATGTTGGTAAATATCTAAGGTTAATTAAATACAATTTTTTTTAGTCTTAAAAAAGTTAAATGACATGTTGTTTAAAAAACATTGAAGACCATTTATTATTCGGTCAACCGCACAACTAATTTTCCCCTATTTTTGTCTCCGTTTAGAGAGCTAAAAACTTTTTTGGTTGAGAAAATATTGCAGAAATATGAAATGAATTAGTGGCACAGGTAGCTGAAGGGGTCTGCGATGGTTGACAAAAGTTGCTACTTTAGTTGTTTGATTTCTAAAGGCAAGTTCATTTGCTGGGAATGGTAGAAAGTGGCGAAGGGGTTCCTTTGCGGCTGGTTGTGAGTTGCTGTGTGTCAATAGTCGAAAAGTACCCGAGGCCATCGAAATTGCAGCTGCATCTGAATGTGAAATCGTTGTTCTCCCTGCGAATCTGCTCCTTATTTTCGCCCTTAACTGTAAATTGAACTTTTACTTTTTAGCAAGTTTGGACGAGAAATTTTCCACCGATAATGATCATTAAAGAGAGATTTGGGTTTGTGCCACAAAAGGTCGGGGATAACCTTTGTTGGACATCTGTCAGGTGGTCGATTCGGGAAAAGTTTCTGGCTGTATTGAAATGCATTTGCATTTTTGCCAAAGTTTTCGACTCAAGGTTTGGAAATATATTTTCAACAATTAAAATTTTAAGGTGGCGAATAACGAGTTTCTTTATGCCAGTCACTAGGTGTAAATCGAATTTAAGGTGAAATTTGCTGCCATAAATGGCACTACCTATTTTTATTTAAAAACCTCCCACGTAATTTCTTATCTAAATCCTTAACAGTTTTTTTCGTTTCCACTCGCGATATGTTTTTATCTTTAACTGAACCCAAATATATAAGTTTGTTGACGTTTGTTTGCTATCTCACACCCGATAAAATCACCTTGGTTTCTTGCCTATCATATGAATCAAGTTCAATGACTTAATATTTCGCACTTCCATAGAAATTTTTAACTTTTATTAATCAGAAAGAGAGAAAAAGAGGAACTTAGAGAGCGGAAGCGAGGTGAAAGAGAATATATTCTGCGAACTCACAGCTCTCTCATAAATCACAATAAAAAGAAATTAGGAAATTTTTTATCGTACGGAGCCAAAGAAGCCACCTTGTTTTTATTAGGCCCTGAAAATGGTCGGCTAATTGAAATACCCGAAGGGAAAAAAGGGAGAGGTGTTAAGAATTGTACGCCAAAATTAATTGGTAGCAATAAATTGCTGGCTGTTGTCCGCCCACGTGACTCATTTTCAGTTTCTGCTTCCTTACTTGATGTCCTTTTCGCTTTAGGGATAATGAGTAGCGACAGGACCAGAATTTTAAGACCCTCTTAAATTTAATTATTACTCTAAGGAATTAAAAAAATAATTGTAAGAAAGAATTAATTTCTACAACCTAAATATCTCTTTTAAAATATCTATTTATATATATATATTCATTTATATTTATTACATATTTTATACTTTAGAAATCATTTAACATTTTTTAAACATTCCTAGAAGTAAGTGGCATTTCAGGGTGTATAAGAGTGTTTATTTTCTTTGCCTCCCAGCTCTTAAATGTTTGCTGTCCTTCACGCAAATCAGTGTTCAATTATGAAAAAAGTAAAAACATGAAGTGTAATGAGGGGAAAAGTGGCGAGGGAAGTGAAAAGAGGCCTTTCCAAAGGAAAAGCACGCGAAACACATTTTCTTAATTGTGTCAAAAGCGCAATTTTGTGCAATTTGTGTGAAATGAAAGCGAAAGTAAGGCCCACAAAAGTACACATTTATATACATAAAGGTAAGGCGAAAGCTTACGCATCTAAAACTTACGCCCACCAGTTGAAAAAGGAGGGCAGTAACAGTACCTCTCTTTTTCCGGAGCAATTTGCTGGACAAATCTGCTTTCTTTTTTTGTGTTTTTTTCTTCACGGGCGCGGCAAACTTAAATTTTTCTCTTTCACTCGCTTTTTTCTATATTTTTATTTTGATTGTGTTGCGGGGATGTTTTTTTTTGTGTGCTAATGCGTCAGTTTCGTGAGGTTTTCTATTTCCGCACTTCGGTTTCACTTGGAATTCCACTGTTTAGTCTTGGGATCCGACAATATCCGTTTCCGCCTCGAATTTGTGGCTTTTTTCTGGCTCATTATACCAGTATATTCACTATTTAATTGCAAAATGCAGGAAAAGCGAGGAAAATGCAACTGCAGCTGTCAGATGGAGTGTCACAACAAATCGGCAGCCGAAGGGAAAACCGAGTGCAATCAGCTGACTCACGGTCCTAGGACAACAAAAAAGCCGTGGAGAAACACGAGGCTCCAGCGGGAAAAATCGATGGCACACTGACTGAAGCTCCGGCGAAACCCGAGAACCTGTCTCCACGAGAGAGAATAGTCGGAGAACCCCAGTATTTCGGGGGAGAGAACCAGAGAACTCGGCCTGATAACAGCTGAGCGCCCGTGTTATGCCTTTGCTTATTACTTTTCAGTTTTTGGCAAGGGTTGTGGGCTTTTCGGACTTTCCAATACTCTTCGCTATAGGTTCAGCATATGGAGAACAAATATTCTGTATTGTAAATAAAGTGATATTACCATTGATTTGATTTGAATTTATATAAAAGTATACTTGCAAAATATAGAATTAATTTAAGATTTTTTAAAACTAATAACTTTTTTAGTTGTCAATAAAATGTATAATGTTGAGAGAATAATATCAACATTCAAGTTCGAGAAAACCCCCTATAAAAAAAATTGGAGTTCTAAGAGGGTAAAAATATTATTATTATTATTATTTTTGCAAGGAAAATCTAAAAATAATCCTCAAATCAGATTAATAAAACTGTGTCATTCAGTTACATTTGTCATTGTCACTAGTTTTTTATAATATGCATAACACCATTCCAGATCTTATCCCCCTTTGTGACTTCATATTTATTTACGAGCACTTCAGTCACTCTCCATTAGTCACTTTGCTGTCCGGTGGTCTTAATTCAGATAGAGATCCACTATAATTGTAGCTCAGATCTCGGTCAGGCAAATCGAATCCGTCGGCTCATTAGCATCGCCGGGAATTGGGGACTTAATGTCGGGGTTACGATATCGGGGCACTCGCCATGAGTCATTGTCCAGGCACAATCAACCGACTCGCAAATCGCACACGGATATACAACAGTGGAGCCCACAAATACAAATACGAATGTGAATGCGAATGGTCCCCGGGCAATTGCAATTGTGATTTTATGAGCTTTTCCGGGCAAGCTTCTGTGGGGGGCTTTGTGCATCGATAGCACGGCTTCTGCCGCTGCGGTTTATCCGTGGTCTACATGGAGAAAAATGTACCTAACAGTCGCTTCAATCAGAATATTAATATGACGTTAAATCATAATCTTGTGTATTCAAGTTTAATTTTTTTTTAAAATATAAATGAAATGAAAACCGAAAACAACCATAAGTGTTTTATTTTGAAAAGGGAACTTTGATTCTTAGCGACGGTGATGTCAAAAATAGTTATCTTTTTTCATTTAACCACAAGGTTTTTATATATTATCCAAAGAGAAAAGAAAACTAACGGCTAAAAAATCGTAAAAGGCATCTAAAAATACAAATCACGAAGATCTCTTAAAAAATATTTTTTTAATTTCAGCTAAATTGGTAAGTATAAGTTTTTCTTCCAGTGTAGCATAGCTTATCAAGCCCACCTCTCTCATTTCGGCTCTCCATTCTCTTTTCAACCTTTGGGCAGTGCGAGTAAACGGCCTTTGCATACATAAAAATACAATTCTATTTACTCATTTATAAATGCGACAATAAAATGCTTAGGTCGAATTGAATAAATGATTAAGGAGGGGAATTTTAAAGAGGAGTTCCCACATCTCAAACGATGATGTAACATTTTATTGTGTGTCCCCGTAGGTTTCTCTGCTGGTCAGCTTTATTGTGATTTTCTTATGTTTGCACAATAGATATAAAACCATAAAAATAGGTTGTTGTCGCGGTAAAAGCATTTGGGGAAGTACTCTAAGAGAACTGGTGTTGATAATAAAGAAAATGGAATTAAAAATATATTATTTTTTAGAACCAACAATTTAATTATTACGTTAAAGCATAAAAACTAAAGCACCAAATTAATTTTCATTTTTAAACGTCACAAATTAGCTTTTATTTTGGAAGCGATCCAATAGAATTTGAAATGCAAATACCTCAAATCATGTAGAAAATAATAGATATTGTACCCTCTTTTGGTTAGAGCATTAAAATCGTATTATTCTTTATCTTTGCTTTTGTTTTTATGGTATTTTTGCTTTTCCCCGTTGAGGCGTTAATTTTTTGCGACTTTTCGCACATTTCTTGTTTATTTTTGTGGGTCATGAGCATGTGTATATAGTACACTGCAAAAAACGCATGTGACTTAAGATACTTTATTTTCATTCAGGCTTACTAAATATACAAAACATGTGATTACATTTTTATTCAGCATTTGTTCAAGTAATTTGGTGATGATTTTCTGAATGTGTACTGAATATCGCAGTTGTAGCTACTAGTGCTCAGCTGATAAGCCGTTTATTGGTGCCTGGGCACTTCGATAAGAAACGGACTTACGGATGGACAAATGGACTGACTGACGGAATGACAACTGGACATACTTTGCCGGGGGTCACGTTCTCGCAATCGGATTAGATTTATGCATTTCGTAACTCATTAGCCGACTCAGATGCGATTTGCTTCACTAACGAAGGGAGAATCACAGCTACGGCAAAGCCTTTTTAATTAGCTCATGAAAGATTTCCCAATTTAATTGGACCTAATGCATGCTGGGGAGTGGAAAGATGGCAAGTGGGACGCTGGGACAGGATGCCACGCAAAGTTCGCTGCTCAAAATGTTGCAACTTGGATCTGAATCTGGGGTTTTGGGACTGGCTGCGATTTTAATTAATTTTACACGACATCTTCGGTGTGCGGAGGCCCTGGGAATGCATTTTGACACATTGTTTGACAAATTGCCAGACGCCGGGGACACACAGATACACACACGCACCGCCAACAAAAGATACACCCGAAGGATGCGGAAAAAGTCGCCAAAGACAGGAGTTGCAGGTAACGGAATCATCAAAGCTAAACTTGAAGGCAACTTGTGCCGTCGACGCAAAGTTTAATGCCAAAAGGCAAAGCTGCCAGCGAAGCGGGCCACAAATTTGAAAGATCCAGAGGCGGCACATTGAAGGGGTCTTAAATTGTTGGAATAACCTTGCCCAACAGGATGTAATTATACTTATTTTGTTAACTAATTTTAGCAGTATTTTGTTTGATGCATACTAAAGTAATTTCTTTCTGTAAAGGAGTATTACATAATATCACTTCGCATGGAAGTACAAAAAGTGACAAAGCGCACCTTGGCAAACAACTTTACATATACCCAGAAAAATTCATATGTTGAGAGATTAAAGCAGTTGATACTCATCGAAAGGTGTTGTTAAAACATTAATTCTTAGTTGAGACCTAATTCTAAGCTAATGACACCAAACTTGTTAAATTTCTATAGTCCGTTCAATCGAAAAAAAGAACAAAAATGAACTTTTTTTAGAAAATAAGTAACCCCTTTTCGTGCGCCCCTGTCACCCATACGCAGGTGCTGTGAACACAACTATGTTGCACTAACTGCGCTTTCTGGCAGTGGGCAAAATGTCGCCGCAACAGGGCGTATGAGCAACGTCTGAGCCAAGCACAAATAGCAACAATGGCAACAACAATCATCATCTGGCCGGAGCATCCAATACGCTCCAGGGGCACCTAAAACGCCCCCCTTTCGGACCCCCCATTTCGCCCAGTCTCTAACCCCCTTTCGATGCCATGACAAAGTCAGTTATGGTCAATAAAAAGCAATGCGACAATGAGAAAACTCCAGCGATTGGAACACTGCTGTGCTGGGGGTACACTGAGAAAAACCACAATTTTAATACGCTTTAAGAGTTTTACTTGTGAAAATATTTAAATCATATTTTCGAACTTTTTATAATGGTATATTAATCATACCATAACAAGTTCATAAACTGAATGTTGCATAGCCATTTCCAATCACCAAACAAGCACTCTTTTTTTGAATATCAAATATTAGATTTCCTTAAAAATTAAGGCAATTTTACATTGTTCCTTTTTATCAAAATGCTAAACGATTAATTATTTGTAAGTGCCTTTATTTTATTAAAAGTCTATTTTATTCGCTGTGTAGCGAATTTTGGCTTGTTGCAAGTGGGATATACGACGGTAGCCTCGGCCCACGGACTGCAGATGGCGCTCGAGTGCACCGACGGCTGTTGCTCTAGAGATGATGGCGTGGAATTGCACGGAATTGGCTAAAAGGGGTCACAAACGAGGGCGGTGGATCAAAATGGCCGGTGGGTTGAGGACCTAATGAAAGGCGTGTTTTTCGCTTGGCCTTTATAATCAGGGTTGACCGAAAGGGGGGAAATCAGCATACAGCACTTGAACACATATGCCCAAAAAGATTGCCATTAACTTTTTAAGAATAGCAATCATATAGGTTATGAGTGAGCAAAACTCTAAAATTTAATCCCATTTTTCGATCCAATCGTTCGTTCCTGAAACACTTCCATTTTGGGGAAAATTGCCATTGGCTATCCAACGATTCGTTTAAAATCCTTAAAGCAAAACCTTGAATGCGGAACGAAGTTGATCCCTCAGCACTACAAAATTGACTTCCACAGCTGAAATTGCGTGTCCCCCGAAAAATCAGCAGAAATGCAACCGCAATTTTGCAGAGACCACTTTTAGGGCTCTCCGAAAATCAACGCAAAAGTTTGACCAAAAAAAAAGAAATTACCGTGTTGCGACGAAATGAAAATTATTTTAAATTATATCCCTGCCAACCCAATCCACCAGCCACCACAACCACATGTTAGCCCAAAAATGCCAGAGACAGGTTACCAAAATGTATCCTGGTTGGTGCGAAAACACATTTTGGACATTTTGTAGATACAAGTGCCTCTAATTTTTATTTGCGTTGAGTTAATTTCCACTGTGAAAACTATTTTCGAATTGACGAGCAGGCGGAGATCACTGGAGTTCTAAAATAGCTTACAAAGGCGTCTAAAATTATGAAAATCGAAATGGTATTTTCCCTTTAAGGGATCTAAAAACGAAAAAGCAACGATTATAGATTTGACAAAAACTGGACATTCAGGCCTTTAAAACCCGGCTAAGAGTACCCACTTGTAGTAATTTTTTCTGTTTCGCCCCCAATGACACTTCACCGACACAGGGTCGCACCCACACCCTTACACCCCCACACACACCCAAGCACTTGGGGGAAAAGAGACAGACAGATCGGGAACATTCGCATTGGACACCGTTTGCAGTGCTGCAACTTTAATTGCTTTGGTGGTTTGTGCCAAATTAGATTCTGCGGTTTTGTCGCGTCGCCATTCCGGTAATCGAGGGTGTACTGTACGGGTGGGTGAGGATTTTGGGTGGTGTCTTGGCCATGGCCTTTTCCCCAAACTCCATCGAACTGAAGCCAAAAGCTGACGCTGACGCCCATCAATTAAACTTGTCAATGAGAATGCGAGGCAACAGCAGAAATAGCGACAAGAACCCGGGGAATAATAAGTAATGGTAGGGGTTAAACGGGGGTTACAGAAGGGAGCTTAAAACCTAACATCGACTGAAAGTTAACTACATTTCACCCGCTCCACTGACATTCAAATTAGGTTTCTGTTCAAGACATGCATACGTGTAATTTGATTGGAGTTGTAGGAAATGAAATCTATTTAGTCTCTTATCCAAGTAAAATATTTAAAAATAAATTCGGGGACTTTTCTAGTGTTATTGCTTACCACGGTTTTAATATTACTTTTAATGGTGTCTAAAAGTATGCAAAGTATTTCACGGAATACGTTTATAAATTGTTAATAGTTGAGATTAAAGTGTAAATTTATAGAATTACTAAGGATAATACATATATTGTAAAGGTTTCCCTTAAATACTATTACGTACTATTTGTTGAACACATCTTGTGTATTCTTTCCAAACCTAGCTTAAACATTCAGGATAGCCCCCAGCTGGACAAAAATAAAAAAACAACCGGAGTTCTCAATGCAATCAACAAGGTCCCTGGGATAAGTAGCTCCTCATATACATACTCCGTGTAAATGTTATCCCACTTTCGTTGTATTTTGAATATTTGAATAAAAGAACCCAAGGAAAAATGCGGGCTGTCTACTGAAATTTCCATTCCTTGGGGCCGCGGGCCATTGACATGACTCTCTGGTCTCCGGATTTATCCTGTTGGCCTGTCCTGTCGTTATGGACGCAGTCCTATCTACTATCTCAGCAATTGTACGCACCGAGAAATTGATTTATTTTTGTTTACGCCGAAACAGCAAAAAGTTTACCACATTTTCTAGTCCTCTCCCCACTTTTGCCTTTGGCCAAGTTTTAGTTGGCTTATTCCAGTGTTTATTTTGCACAGTAAATAATATTTGATTTTTAAAGAACAATGTAAATGTAGATACTTTTAATAACCTAATTATTTCACATCTGTGTGATAAAATTGAATAATAAACTAAGCTTTGTAAAAAAATTGATAACATACAAAATACTTATGTGCTTTAAGTGCCCAGCTGCACTTGTTTCTTTCTGTGTAGCACTTCGTTATCCGCTTCTTGAGAAGAGTCGGTATAATCCTAATGCTCTCTAATTACATTGGCCAGCAAGTCAACACAGTCAAGGCCACGTTTTTCCCTCTGCCTATTTGAGTTGACCATGTCCGCTGTCTACTTTGCAGCCCGCTTATCATTTTTTAGCCCTGGCTTAAAGACACTCCTAATTATTGGCCCTCTGGCCAAGAATTCGGCCATTGAACTGGCTCTTCGGGATTTCTTCTGTTTTTGCCATTGAGCCGTGTTTATGGGGGTGCGACGACACCTGGCGACATCAATTAGGGGGACAGGCAGGGGTTTTCCGGTGCGGATTTTCCGAAATGGGAAAAACTGGCTAAGAAGCCTCTCCTCCTGGCTGAGAAATTTCAAGACGGGTGCACTTTTCTGTTGCCTTGGAAATCACAACATAAGCGTGTTTAAAAGGGGGCAAATAAAAAGTAATCGCTGAGGTGTTTTTACGTTTTTTTTTTTTAACGAGGGGTTTCCTGACAATAAACGTAAATATAACACTATTTTATGCTTGAAGTTCTAAGTGTGCAATTAATAATAAAAATTAATAAAATTATATTTTATATACTCAAATTTAAAAAAAACATCGTTATTACTAACTCAAAAACTAAAACATGTTTTTGAAATTTATCTATAAATTAAATATTTAAATAAAAAGGTAAGAGGTTACGATTAATTTATACTGGTGTATGTTTCTAGTTTTTAGTTTTTAATGGCCACTAAATCAGGGATATTCTTAATAAAAAGGCAATAATAAACTGTTAACTGGGGATAGCTCGAATTAATTTCTAACTTCGTCGAAACTAAAAATACGGTTTACATTTCAAAATTGTATAAGTACTTGTGATTCGGGTGTCCTTCCGTTAATCACTTACAGTTCTAGAAAATCATATAATGCATTTCAAGCACAAACATACAGCGCCACATGCTTAACAAGCATTTATATTTATTTTTCCTGAATAAAGAAAAAATTTTTCTTCTTCTGCGTTGTGGAAATTTATGAAGGGTCCTTCACAAATGGCCTACGACCCCTACTCTGCGCCCCGTTAACCCCCCTTGCACCTTGGGGGTGAAAAAACTGGAAAAAGCATCAGACGAGCAAAATGGCAAGCAATAAAAATAATTGCAAATTTCGAAATTTAAGTGGAGGCGTGTGGCACGTTTAAAGTGGCGCCTCAGCTCCCTTAACCTCGCCCCTAAATCTCCATCCCCCAATTTTCCCCACTTTCCAAACAATGGCGAAAAACAAAAAATGTTCAGCGCAGTGTAAAATCTGCGAATCGCGGTTTTCTTTTTCACTTTCCCTCGGTTTGTGTGTGCTTTTGTTTTTTACAATCTGTTTCGCAACTCACGTAAAATATAAGGTAATTTGTGGAAATTTGATGTTTATCGTAAATTGTTTTTTATTTGCACAATGTCACCATTTTGCGGTTTGCCAGCAGCGCAAACTTACACACACATGCAGACTGACACGCGAAAGCACGCACACAGGCGTACATCGGTGGTCAGGGTTGCCAAGCTGACGAAAAATAATACAAATTAAATAATAAATAGATTTATCCTTAAATGGGGCCTTTAAAAGGAGACAATTGAGTTTATTTACTGAGTATTATTTTATTACTATGGGCTTAAAAATATTTTTTTATATTTAATACATAAGTTTTATTAGTACTTCAACTTTTTCTTTGAGCTCCCATTTTTTTTGAGCTGTTTCCCCTTTTTGATTAATTAGTATTTATAATGTTGTAGTAAAATATTTAAGTAAAAATAAAATCTTCTGTTATTTTCAAGTATTAATGCTAGGTTATATTTAATTTTATATATCTCTGAAATAGGTACAACATTTTCGAGAGGCCAATTCCCTTAGAACAAAAACGAGTCCTTTGTAGGAGTATCCCCCTCTCGAACCCAATTGTATTCCACCTTAATTGTAAACCCCGAAAAAAGAGGAAATATGGTAAAAACAATTGCAAACATTTTTCAATTTACCTGCACGGCGGACACGCCTTTCCTCCTCCTGTTGTTTACACCGCTTTTTATTGCAATTTTCGGGGTGCTTGATATTTTGGGCTTAATTGTAACACGAATGCCCCAGCGCAGAAGGGCAAACAAAGTGATGGCTATGACCAGAAGAAACGGACAGCACTCCTCGACTTTGTATCTTATCATTTTGACCAAAATGTGGGAAATAAACAAAAAACGAGAAGAAAACACAAATTTTGACAGAATTTGGCAGGCCTAACCCAATCGAACGGTGTAGACAAACTGTTTGGTTTAATTTTCATTTTATTTACTTTATAATTATCGTATATTCTGTTTTACATTGTATAATATCGTATATCATTACGGTCTAGGTTTACATTTAAAATTAGTTTAATTCTTGTTTGGTTTTGCAATAAAAATGACAGTAAAATGTTACAAACGCCTGGCGTGAACATTTCCGTTGTCTCAGTTTTCATTTGGAGAACAGTTTTAATAGTTTACATTTAGTTTAAGTGGAAACAATAAAACGCACATTGACAAAATGGACAGTTTAACTAAGTTTCAGACTTAGACTAAGGTTTATCGACTATTTTGATCTCATTTGGTTTTGGATTACAAGTACATTTTGGTTTATATCTAGGTGGATAATGGAAAAATGCTTTTGCGGTCTGAGTTTGTTTGGGGTCTAAACTGAAAATATAAACTAATTCTAAATTTAATTTATATAATACATACTTTTAAGTAAAACCAGAAATTATATCTTTAAATATTTTTGAGAGGAGATGCAATGTGTTTTACTCAGAGCCACACAAACACACTCAAAAATGCAGTTCTTATTAGCTATTCTTTTTTTATATTATTGACCATATTTTAACATATTTATTTCGAATTAAACTGTTTACATAGAATATCTATACTCTTTGGTTTACTCTGTTTAAGTATGTACAATATTCTTAAAATTTAATTATCCATTTAATTGGTTTCCATTGCTAGGAGAGGTTTATGCATGCGCAACATTCATTGAAACATTTTAGTTAATTTACTTAACTTTATTTCCATGCATAATTTGTTGCGCAAACATTCCCAAAAAATACTGATGTTTTTCTCTTTTACATTACTCTTTTTTGTTTGCCTAACACCAAAATAAATGCTTCAATTATGTGGATTTATTACTTGAATATTTCATAACGGAGCTGAACAAGTATTGGATTAAAGATATTTCCCCCTCTATGTGCAATTAAATATTCTGTGTCTTGCTTTGTTTTTTACTATATCACTGAGTGCTAAAGGGTTTGATTTTGAATTGGGAAACAAGCGAAAAATCTGTACAACTAAATGTTTTACAACCCGTTTTGATGGCTACAAATTTAATAAATTTTATTACTTTCGGAGTGCAAAAAAGAAGGGCAGGCGAATCAATATTTATAATAACCGCATTCCACCCTCAAGTCGGGTGAAAGTTTTGTGAAAGTTGGGCGATGATTTTTCGGTAATCACTTTTCACGAATGAAGGCGAAAAGTAAATAACAACCGAAAAAGTATCTGTAATGAACTTTTCACTCAATTTTGGTTCACAAAACAAAAGCATTCTGAAACTCCCCGCAGCTTAACATTTAAATTGAATTCGTTTTGCTGTCTGTTGATTATTCTCTTTTCCGGCTATTATGATTTTATTTCAAAGATTTGCTCTCTTTATGCTAAAAGATAGTTTTTCTATTTTAATTTCCATATTTTGCGGTTTGGTATGTCGCTGTGTAAATATTTTTTATCTAGTTTAAATGTAAATGCAACTCACTTGGACTTTTGACTGGCAGCGCTTAGTTTAAAAGTTGGTTGCAGTTGCAATTAAATGACTCAGTGTCCGTGTCTACTATTTACAGATGGCACAGTAAATAAATTGATATTTTGTGCTCTGATTTTGCCGAACTGAGTTGCACCGGGGGCTTTGTGCAATGGCAAATTAATTTGCAAATTTACACAATCTAATTTTGGGTCACCGGGGGACCCAGACGACCAATTGTTAATTTGTAATTACAATTTTTGCATTATTATTGCCCGCCGACAATGCGAACAATTGAAATTAGCAGCGCAATTAGTCGAGTTGAGCAAACAAATATTCGTTCCAATTTAATGCCCCAATGGAGACAAAAGCTAATGAGGAGTCGAAAACTTTTGCCAACCTTTCCCCTTTTTTCGCATTGTATCGAAGTTTGATTTTTATTGGCCATTGGTTTATTTTGACCTGGCCGGGTGGAAAAGCAATTAAATGAACATTTTGTCTCTCTTATTTGATTTAAACGAACACAATTTCCATATTCAGCAAAACGGCCATAAAAAAGGCAATAGAAACCTCAAAAGGTGGCTTTTGTGTTTGGCTGTCGGTTTAACAATGATTTGACCAGAATAACATGGCGGTATTTTTGCAGTTTGTCACCATGGACCTCAATATTTTGGCCACACGATCGACAAAATATGGAATTCGCTATTATTTAAATTTAAATAAAATATGCGGTGGTGGCTTTGGAAATTATATTTGAATTTTTAAGAAATTATGTACTATTTTTGAGATGACTTTTTCAAATAATGGTTTTAAAGCCAATTTAAAATGTAGAAGACACCGAAAGAACCTAGAATAAGGCTGACAAACAATTGATAATTTAACACGTTATATTCATTTTAATTATGCATTCATAAAGGTTGAAACGAAGAAAATGCATCAATGCCCAGGACTAGAAAAAATGGCTTCACTTTTCACATGACTGTGTAATTAATACTATCTGATTTTAAATACATAATTATTATAATTATCTTCAAAAAACAAAGTCGGTATAATTGCTCATTAAAATAGTCACCAATTTTCTTTATATCTCTACATCTTTTTTTTTGTACGAGTGATAACAAAATAAAGAGCTTAAGAATTTTGTTTTCGTTTTTTTTATCTTTGAGTATTTCCTAAAATACTTGTATTTTTACTTATTTCTTATTTTTGGTATTTCTGTAGATTTTTCACATTTACAGCATTTTTTTTGGTTTTGGTCGAAATAGGCAAGCTTTCTCTTAATTTGCTTTTTACGTTTGCATTGCCAGCAATTTTTACGCCACTTAAACAGCTAGATATTTAAATTTTTTATGTGTTTAATTTTTTGCTATTTACTTACTTAAATGCTTATGTCAAAATGTATTTTGTTGCCGTTTTGTTGCGGGTTGCTGCTCTTAACTGGCAATTAGTTTAATTTGCCAAATCCTGTATTATATCCGCTGCAACGAGAGAGACAAAAATCGATTTGCGTTTAGTGCGATTTAAGCTCATTAATAAATAATGGTGAAATATGCAATTTAAATTAATTAATGCGTGTGTGAGTGTGGGATGTTCCACTAAGCTATTAATTTGCAGAAAAAATAAGAGAGATGGGTTGCTTTCTTTTAAGCCCCATTTTCATTTGGATTTTTAGATTGGGGTCAGACGAATGTTTGCATTATATTTTTATATTTATAGAAATTCGCTCCAAATACATTTGCATTCAATCAGCATAATGCGCTGCTGAATGGGCCGTTTGCACTCCTATTTATTTTGATTTTATTTCTATATATCCTTAGCCATATTTTATCCGCATTATATCCTATGCATCCATATCCCATCCATCGATATTGTGTGTGACTTGAAGCGTGTTGAACGTTGCCATCTCGAAAGCCCGGCTCAAATGCCAAAACACTTCACATGCGACGAGGTGCGAGACTTTTCGCAAAATATTCCCCCTTTTCGCTGATTTGAGGCGACACTCTATGCACTTTGACTTGCCTCTGACAATTGCGACTTTTGCATAAATACATTTTCAGCATTTTCCGAGTCAAGTGGTTGTGGAAATCCTCGCTCGTTCGTCTGGCACACAATAAAATACTTTCCGATGCGTTTCTGATGCATTCTGAATGCGTGTGGCGTGGCGCGAAAATGTATCTGCTCGCGAAAGCCGCAATGCATTTTCCGCACAGCTTTCCCGGCTTTCAGATTTTTCCCTCTACTGCGTTACTGCCACCCCTCGAAACTCAATTAACGCTTTTCGGTTTCCTTTCGCAAAATGTGACACGGTCGTTTGAGCCTTATGTCTGACCGCTTGTTGTTATGTTTCATTACCTAATAAACATTTTATGAGCCGGGCCAGTTGGTCACACAGAGAGACAGGCGGGCCAAATTGGTAAATTGTTTGAAAAGATGCATTACACGGCAGATCCCTGCCCATTTTCCTCTTCAGGCCGATTTTCCTCGCCATTTTCCACCCACTTTTGCCCGTTTGGCTCCCCGCCTTTCAGCAAACCATTTTGGCCAGGCCGTAATTAACAAGGTGCAAAACGGCTCCAATGGCCTGGCAATGAGTTTCCCGACTTTACTTTTGTTCATCGTTTTTTTCGAGGCTAAAGCTATGGGAGATATTTTCAGAGGGGTTTCTGCAGGTACAAAGCAACGTTTTAATTTTTAAACGGATCTTAAAATTAATAAAAATAAGCAACATTTGTAAGAACTGGAAAAATATCAGAGAAATCATAAATTTATTTATTTTAGAAGGTATATTTTCCCAGACGATTTTAGTAAAAGAAATAGGACCATAATAAATTTTTGCACTTATGATTTATTTAATTGCAAATGCAAATATTTTTAAGTTCATTTAACGGCTTATTCAAAATTCATATTGAATATGACATAGAAATGTTATATTTATTTATTTTAAATAATGTTTAAATACCTATCTAATTTAATATTAGAGGTTTTAAAGAAAATTTAATTTTTATTCAATAGCCAAATATCTGGTTTCTGTGGACTTTCAAAATCTATATGTGATGTTTTAATATTTATCTATTTCGCTGTGAAATAATATCCCAAAAATGAATAAATAATAATCATAGCTTTTAGAGTATGCCAAGATCGCTGTGATTTAACTACAAGTCCACCCACTGTAAACGCAGTTAATGTTGACCCCTCGGCAACCCCGAAACCCAGTTTTCCTCCTTTTCCCCGCCTGCAAAACCATCGTGATGATAGTCCAATGGCTTTTGTTGGCCCATAAAACATGTTCCCCGGCCAAATAAGATGCGTTTCGCTGGCAGGAAGCTGTAGCCTGTAGTCTGTAGTCTGTAGCCTGTAGGCTGTAGGGCTACCTGAAGCTTCCCGTGACCTCCCACCCCTCCTCATTTTCGCCTGCTCTTGTATTTATGCCTATGAATATTTCATTTAATTGAAGCGCATTCATTACCAACCGCACACAGCAAACAGCACCAGCCAAACAGCCCCCTTTTGCCTCTTTCCACCGCCCACCGCCCATGCGACGCCACACTTTTGGCGCTGTAATTAAAATAAATTTATTACGTAAAATGTTTTGCCAAAAAATTTGTCGAAAGTTGTGGCTTGGCCCCATGGCGCAATAAATAATGTGGAAGGTGAGTGTGTGTCTGTGTGTGTGTGGGAGTATCTGTGTGAATGTATGTTTAATGATCTGTGTGCTCTTTGTTTTTGCCACCGTGGCTGTGCGGAAATTGATGCGGTTAATATGCTTCCAATTGTTAATTTTTGCATTTCGTTTTGTGTATTTCCAAAAGCCACAAAATCATACGAAACAAATAAAAAGAAATGAAATAAAATACACAGCGATTGCAGATAGAAACCGAAAACAAAAGCTAAATCTAATCAACAGGAATAACAAACCAACCGAGCGAGCAACCAACAAATTTAATGGATAACCGAAAATTTATGATTACCCCCGTGATTTGGCTAACCGAGTTTTTCAATATGCCCGAAATTAATTTGTATTGAATTTGTATTGAATTGACTTCGAAAGGGAAAAGAGTTTAGATGATTGAAAAATTTAAGTTTGGTTTTATAACGAACTGAATGTTTTTAGTACTAGGCATAACAACATGTTCCATATGATCTTTATAGGTAAGCTACCAATTCGTCTAATTGATGTCAGTGCGCTTGATGCCAAATGCACTTCGGTTCCTTTTCACAACCCAATCAAATCAACTTCAGCTCCATAGAAATTTAATCACTCAAACGCTGCCAACTGAAATTCCCGGAATTTCCAACCGGACATCAACACCCTAACTAGGAGAAAATGATATCAGGAAGAGCACTAATTGAAATCCACGTTAAAAGCCAACACCGAAAACAACCTGAATTGAATCAAACGCAATGCGCTGCAATTCAATATGGCGAATATAGCGAAGCACTTGAAATAAAAATGTTTAGCACTGCGTAACCCACTGCGTGATTCGTATTGTTCGGAATGGGCTCTTCCGGTTTCCGGACTTTGGAGTACACCGGGACAAATCTTGATGATATTCAAAAATAAAAAAGTGGGAAGTACTTTAAGGAAACAGAAAAGGCTTTGAACAATGTTAGTATACAACTTAGTTAAGGTTTTTAGGTCATTTAAAAAGGTGTCTAAAAGTATGCTGCGAAAACGAATGCGTTATTTAGTACTCAAAAGAAATTGTTGCATACTTTTAAGCACAATTTTAAGTGCTTTTAAAGTCCCTCTTATTTTTTTCCCAATCGTTATCGAGCTGTTTTTTTCTATCTGTGTGGGGAGTACTAGTAGATCCCGCAAATCGGCAATTGGGTTGTACAAATCGAGAAAACTCACCAGCTCGAAAGCATTGCATACTTGGCAGCGCAATTTCGGGCATTGAAACAACAGCGAAATTCTTGGCTTTTCGCTGTTTTGTTTGATTCTTTTGTTGTTTTCAGCTGCACGGTCATCAAAGTCAAGAACGGGAGGGCAATATAGAGTGGTCGTGTCTTGAAGGACCGAGAGCGGGTTAACAAAAGTCGGCAGGAGCCGGGGCTTTTATTGCTTTAAACTGGCACTCGAGCTCCACTTGCAGTTCAACTTGAGTCCTGGGAGAAAAAAGAGGTGGCGGCTCAAAAGAAAAGTGAAGCAAATGCCGGGATCCTGAGCTCGTCTTCATCCGAAATCCTCAGCTGACACTACGACAACCCTTTCACCCCATCCTCACCGATTTTATTTGCGTTTTTTCTGGCCCTTGAGGCAAAGGGTATTTACATTTACTCAACATTTGCCGGCAGAAATAAAAATTGTACTTAATAGGTAAGCTTTTTTTCTAAACTTTTAGAACTTTGAAGTTGTCTATACGTTTATAAGCAAGGCTATTCGGATATGGTCTATTAGAAAAAATATGTGAAATTCTATCACAAATAGCGGTTATGGGGCTTAATCTACCTTTTCTATCTGTTTATCTTCTTTCTAAATTTTGTACCACATAATAAAACAGCTCGAGAACCAGTTACCCTGTTAAAAACGCAAGAAATGCCTTTCCAAATAAACCAACAATTGTTCTGCTACTTTTCACTGCCGCCCTCACAATAAGCAACCAAAATATTGTGACTATATACATCGCTTGGCTGCCACGAAAATAAAGGCTCAAAAGTTTCTTTATCAATGATCATTAAGGGTATTTGTGGCTTCGTTTGGACCGCAGCTGTTCATCCCTGCCACTTTTTCTTTTCGCCCATCTTGAGTTGGCATATTTTCTTTTTTTTTCGGTTCTGCTTTTGTTGCTTTGTGGCCAAAAATGCGGCAAAAATGGGGGGAATGTGGGGGAAGTCGAGTCTTTGGCCATGGCTTTTGTTTTAATTGAAATGTTTTTGCTCCTCCGCTGGCTGCTGCTGCTGCTACTGCAGCAAACTGCAGCTGCTTCTCTTTTCTAAGCCGATTAGAACCAGTTCATAATGTATACGGCTAAATATGAAAGCTGCCCAGGAAGTTTTCCCCTCACGTTCTGCTCCGCCGCTCAGAGGTTGGAAAACAATTGTTTTGGTCCACCCTGTGGAGTGGACCGCAATCTCCGCAGTCTCTTTGTCTGTCTGTCTAATTGAAGCAGCATTTAGCAGATACCACGGCGTATGCGGAATATGTGATACGTACGGGGCGTATGCGGAACGGATATCTTATGCATAACAACACAAAAATCACGCATACGCCGTGTGCGACTGTGTGGCTCTGGGAGAGAGCATACGAGCGAACCGCAGCCATTGCTGAAAGTGAATGCATAGAGCATCCGAGGCACTCGCAATCGCAATCCTTTTTATGCATTCCATGTGGCATTGCGGCCGACAATGGGGAAAATCAATCAATTTCTGGTTCGTTGGGGTCGTGTGGTTAAGTAATCTCCTAGAGGTCGTTGCAAAGATCAGGTTACCAATAAATTTCAATTGGAAAGTGTCCTACGCAAATCATATATTTTTTATAAATTAATTAGCCACAATTGTAATAAGTTTTTATAAATATCGTAAATGCTTTCTTTGAAAGGGAAATGCTTTATAGTTTTTACCTCCTGATTATTAGTATTTAAAAAATGTTTGGAAAGGATATTTTTGTATAAAGAATAATGACCAACATTTTTGAAACTCTAGTAATTGTGTTTTTCGTCAATAAAAAAAATAAGGGGTAAAACCCATTTGCTGTCTGGCAATCAAAGCAAACATAACTATACTTCGATACCTTCGCCTCCCACCAATATCTTTATTACTTCCATTTTTCTCCCTGTGTACCCCTGTTCGTGTTGTTATTTATTTTTGCAATGCATTTTTCCTTCACCGATTCACTTCCCTTACAGATGGCAGCGTTGTTTGATTTTGATTTTGTAAAATATTTTCTGCTTCAGCATTTTGCATTTTTAAAAGCGCTCTCTCTTTCTCCCTAGTGTATCCTTCTCTGTCGTTTTCGTCGTAGTTTGTTTTAGTATTTTTCCAGTATTTTTACTGCCATATATTTTTTAAAGGAGGTGCGGTGATAGTTGTCGCTTCAAGCGATTTGTTGTTTTTCCTTATAGAGGGAGGGTTATTTTCAGGGGGAGACCGACTATTTTATGTGCATTTATCTGTGTATGTTGCTGCATCCTGCTTCTGTTGATGGTGCTGCATAAAAGGATATACAGATGCAAATTCTATACAGAAATTTAGATGGGGAATGGGGACTCGGTGAAAGGATGGTGCAGTGTGTGCTTGAAGAGGGGTGAACGTGGGGTGGCTGGGAGTGTGTGTGCTGGCCCTGGCTTCCATTGTGGAAACTCTATTTTATTTATCCGAACAGCTTCAGCTCGAAGCATCCGCAAAACTCTTGGCCAAACATTTCCCAACACTTAAGTGCATAATCAATCAAACTGATTTCTTAGTCGCCTCAACCGATTTCGGATTTTCGGGCTACGGATTTGTGTTCGGATTGGATTTGTGTATAGATTATTTTCCCAATGAGATTTTCTTGCTGTCGGTCGAACCGTTTGTGCTGCAATAATCACATTTGAGGAACGAGATATTAGGAACCTTTCTACAAATGGATGTGATATGGACTGCCTTTACTTTTAATGGCCCTGCAATTAGTTCGGTTTTGGTCAAAAAGAGTTGGCGGAGCGTCTTTTTGATTTTTTTAAGCCTTTATGATTGGTTTGCAAAACCTACAGTTTTTCATTTAAAATTAACTTTATAGGGTTTTGACAACTATAATAATATAACTTTTGGCATCGAACTCACCCATTTGCTGTTGCGGCTTCGCCTGCTGTGGCAGGTCCTTCCTCTGGGGCGGAAGAGGCGGCTGTTTTCCGGACTTCCGCAGGGTTCCGTACCGCTGGGCAGCCTGCAGCATTTCGTGGGGCGCCAGCTGCTGCGTGGGACTGAAGCTCTGCTGACTGAGCGAACTGGTGACCGTCGGGATGTGCGGCGAGTAGCCACTGTAGTCGACCAGGCCGCTGAATGCCGACGGCGGGCGCTCCACATAAATCTGCTGCGACTGGGCGGCGGCCATTTGGAGGCGCCACAAGGCCTCCTGCGACAAATCCCTGGCATTGCTGTAGTTGTTCTCGTTCGAATTGTTGCTTGACCCTGCGAATTACCACATTTCCTGGGGTTATTATGGGTCGTTATTGGCTCGGCACTAAGGTTAGTATATATATTAGTGCAGATGTCGGAAAAAAAGGTGCCAAGTGCTTCAGGTGCCTTGCAGTGAGTGGGAAAACTTGAGAGTCACAGTGGCTAATTGGAAAAACACGCACTAACATAAACACATCTATATATAGAGGGCAATAGTGCCTGGTCATTCTCATCAGGCAGCTGTCCAAAGGATTGTTATAACCCGGTTTGAATAGCAAAGTGTAAGGTTACCGACATGAGCTCGTTTAATTACCTTTAGCCAGCATTAATCACTTGTACTACCAAATAACTATACGGGTTTTAAGTTTCCATCATAAAATATAAAGGTTCCATTCCATTCAAAGTGCAAATACTCCTTTCAAATATTTGTTCAACCATTTTACATATGTGAGAATTGTATTTATAAAAAAAACGAGTAAACAAAAACTTGCACGACGAAATTTAAGGTGAAAAAACGAGTTGGAAAATTCGCTAGTCCTCCGTTTTCATTGCCAGGGATTCGATGACTTCATTTTCCGGAGACACGATATAGTGGCGGCCACCAACTGCCGGGAACCGGTGACCAAGACATCCAGTTCGTTCTTCATTCCGTACTTCTGCTTGCCGTACTTATTGATCAGGTACTCGAAGAAGGAGCTTATCGATATGGAGAGCTGCGAGTTGTCCCGCTTGCCGTTCTCCTCGCAGAGAGCCCTCCAGTTTCCGGCATTCCTCTTGGCCCTCTGAAGCTCCTCCATGCCATGCCACACCATTGCCTTTCCATCATCCTCAGTCAGAATTTCGCCTTCGAAATAGTTGGGGTTCGGTACAAAGCAGGCCTCTTCGAAGCGCAAATTACTGCGGATGATGGTCAGCAGATCCTTGGCGTTGAACTCGTTGACCTTGTTGAAGAGCAGGATTTTGGGCTGCCGGTTCGAGCGAGTCCTGGTGTAAAACCAGTCCCGGCAGGCCATCATGGACTCGAAGGTATCGGCACTATCCAGATAGACATTAAACATGTCGTGGCGCATGAAGTCAAACTGTCCCGGCTGTTCGAATATCTCAATGCCGCGACTTGCTCCGGGGGTTAGCAAGGTAGAATTATGATCTAAACCCACGACATATTCGGGCTTGTGGCGCTTCAGGAAATCATAGGCCAGCTGTATGCCCAGAGATCCATTCAATCTCATCGTGTAGTTGGCCTTGTTCATCAGCAGTTTGTTGTTCATATTCCCCTCTATATAGTCGTTAAAGGTGGGCACTCGATGGAGTTGTACGCCAATTTGCTTGGCCTTTTGGGCCAAAACCTCACAGCACTCCGTTTGGCCCACGTTCGTGTAGATATTGGCCTCTGGCTTCATGATGGCCGCCTTGGCCCAGGCTATGTCTCTCAGGGAATTGCCCAGATTCGAGCTCTGTTCCCATCCCAGGGTCGTTATCCCGATGGTCTGGGCATGCAAGGCTATATTGGTGGCATCGCTGGCTCCTCCATTGCCCACCTCCAGAATGGCCACCTCAACACCCGACTCATGAAAGGCGTGAAAGGCCATCACGGTCATGAGTTTGTTATAGGAAGGTGTGGGCTTCATATTCGTAAGTTCCGTGTTGATTTTCCAAAAGAGTTCCGTGAACTTCACATCGCTCAGGGGCTCCCCATCAATACGAATTCTTTCGCTGGTCAAGAAGAGGTGCGGTGAGCAGAGAACACCGGTCTTCACTCCATGGCATCGCAGAATACTCTCCACTATGCCACATGTGGAGCCCCGGCCCTTGGAACCAGCTACCTGTATAACGGGAATAGATTTCAACTGCTTCTTCGAAAACCCCGTCTTTTCCAGGCACTCCATGGTTTGTTCTATCACGGGATCCGCTTCTTTTCTAATGCTTTTGGTAGTGGCTCTTCCTGAAGTGGGTTCCAGAACCTGATAGCTATTCAGCTGCTTTACAGCATCTAGATAAGCCAAACGTTCTGGACTCTTCTCTTCAGGTTCTTCTGGGGGTGGTGGTGGTGAAGGTTGAGACTGAGGAGCCGCCCCTCCCTTAGATGGTGTGGCCACCTTTGGTGACCCCAATTTCTGCATCTTCTGAGCCTGCAAGTCCTTGCCCGCCTGCATTTTAGCCTGCATGTCCTTGAGCCATTGATTCTGCTTCTTCTGCTGCGATCCCTGCATTCGATTCATCCAGTTTTTCCGCTGCGACTCGGAAGAAGCTCCCCTGAAGGCCCCAGATCCAGAATCCGAATCGGTATCTTCTTCGTCCCTTTGTTTTTCCATCTTTTGCTGCCAAGGGTTTTGATTTCTGGCTGGCGGAGCACCAAAGGCAGAAGTTTGGTTACCCATTCCAAAGTTGGAAATATTATTGTGGCCCTGATTGAACTGATTTTTTTGTGGACCAGATGGCGGAGGAGCACCCTTTTCAGCTGCCATCTTGGCTTTCTTATGCATTTCCGGCGAAACCTTGGCCAACCACTTGGCCCGCTGATCGGGGATTTTGGGAATATTTGGAATAGTTGGTACATTTGGATGAACTGAGGGCTTCGGGCTAATGGCAGTGGGTTGTCCGGGGCTTATGGTGCCCAGGGGCAGGGAATTCTTTTTGATTTCCACGGGCTGAGTTGGTGGGGATTGCTGGGGTGCCGAAGAATGCGACTGCGACTGCGATGGCTGGGACTGGGATTGCGATTGCGGCTGCTTTTTGGACAGCTCCTTGATGGTGGACGCCTTGGAGGCCTTCATCGAAGGCGCCTTGAAGCTCATCTTGAAGAAGTTCTGACTCGACTGGATCGTCCATTGTAGTGTTCTCAGGCGGGAACTCTGCCTTCGGTACATCAGCGGCATCAGCGAATACATTCCAACCAGCAACTCTTGAAAAATCCGTTGTGTGTTTCTTTTTGTGGTTTAAGGTTTCAAGTTCAATAAAATGCCAACGAAATGTATGAATTTTGATCATGGAAATTTGTCGATCGAATTTTCTGTATCTGACTTGTGAGAATTTTTATCATTTGGTTAGGTGGTAAAATAATCAAGTGCCAATCAATCGGACACATAAGGGAAAGGTAGGGGATATTTATTAGTTTAGGATATCTATCATGTTTAAGGATTATTTAAATAGTCTTTTAAAATATTTAATAAAAATTACGTTTAAAATATATTATACATATATTGTTTGTTTTTTATGATCAAGTGAACAAAAATAGTTTAACCAATAGTAAAATACAAGTACCAAATTTCACCAACAGTTTCCACTTTTCAAATTCTTTGCATACTTTAGGGCACGTGTAGTAATATTTTTACACCGAGAGAAATTTTTATAAGTGCAGAGAGAATACAAGTGAATATAACAGTGCAAAAAAAGTATTTCGATGGTAAATATTTCTTTAAGGTTTAGTTTCACGAACATAATTAATTTAATAATTATTTCCCCAACACTGAACAAATTTGTGTAGTGCAACAACAAATATTAACGAAACATCAAGAGAAAAATTGCATATGGTGATGGTGCTCAGCTATTTAATTTTTGTCAGTGCTTTTGGTGCGGACGGTGGTTAGTTTGCTGTTTATTTGTTCTTGTGGTGTGGAAGTTGCTCCTTGTTTTTTTCTGTTTATTCATTCTGTCGCTCGTAGCTGGAGTTACCTGTGATGGCTAGTGTTGTTGTTGTTGTTGCTGCCTTGGCATTGCGAGACGTTGTTGTTATGGTGGTCGCCAGTGCTGTTGTTGTTGCCGCAGTGGCTGCGGTCACCAGGGATCTCATTTCCCTGGCATCCCTTTCCCGCTCTCTGTTTCCCAAATGGCTGCGTTTCAGGGTGGTGGTGGTGCAGTTGTTGGTGTTGTTGGTGGTGGTGTTCGTGCTGTTGTTGTAGTTGTTGTTGACGTTGTTGTTGTAGTTGTTCTTGTTGGTGGTGTTGTTGGCAATGGCGATGGTGGGTTGGTTCGTTAAATTGGCGCGTGCTGAATGTTGCTGCTGCAATGGGTTAATGTTGCTGCTGCCGCCGCTGATGTTGCATGTTGCTGGTGTCGCCTCAAGTGGTCCTGCTTCGGTTGCAACCACACACACCAACAACAACGACGACGAGTGTGTGAGTGGGTGGGTGGGAGTATAGGTAGGTGTGTGGGAGGGCAGAGAAATAGTAATTAAGTTGACGCTTGCCAAAAGGGGGAACGCAAAGAAAGAGCAACAAAAGCCCGCGAAACCCACAATTAAAATGCATTCTTGAGGGGAACACTCAGCGAAAAATGTGTCGCCTACACTGAGTTTAAGTTTTCTACGTACCTTACTCAAAAAAGTATTCGCCCTGAATCTATTTTACTACAAATTGTGGAATGTATCAGAACCTTAAGGACAATTTGTTAGCAGAAACTTAACTAAACTTTGAGGAAGAATGTAATGTCTTTAAAAACTGTACACAAATAGACTATGTTTTAATTCTTAATAACAAAAATAATTATAAATATAGCATCTGTAATCCTTTTCTCAGTGCAGTTCACCCCTCCATTTCGCTTTAAACTTGTAGCTTTCCATTTAGGTGTGAATAGAGTTCCTTTCTTTATTGTTCACCAACCCCCTTTTCGCTCAAAAACCCTGGTGGGCCGAGGTGAAAAATAAGGTGCTGAAATGCTCTCGGGTTTGGGTTAAGTTCTCCGGCCTAATCGGATTAAAGTCTAAGTGGTGACCTCTTTAAGGGGATTATTTGAGAAAGAATTTGTATATTCAAGTTGCCTAATTGCGTTAAATTTGTTTATTAAATTTTTCGAGTTCTTCAAGTCGATTTTGTGCGGACTTTATGTGCTCATCTAAGCCATCTTGTCGCCTGGCTTGTTGCTAATTGACTTTTCTCAGCTTGTTTCCGAGTGAAAAAGGCGACTTCAGACTAAAACTTCACAATGCAATTTGGAACTTAAGGCACTAAAATTTGTAACAAAGTGCCTCGTAGAACATAAAACATTAGGAAAGATATGTAGTTTGCAATTTTTCACTTTTAGTTTAAAAAAAATGTTATTTGTTACCCACAATTTTTATATTAGGCCAGTAATGTACATGCTTTTTTTTCAATGTATTAGAAATTAGGTTTTAACACTTCGGGCTCTCAACTAAGTCGGGGACCTTGAAATTTTATTTTTTGACAAGTGCCTTAGATAAAATATAATCATTCTTATCGATTTTTTTATAACCAAAAAAATATAAAATAACACGCAACAAAATTCCGAATCAGTTTTGTACGAGCATTTGCCTCAAGAGGTTCTGAGCTGCCAAAATGCTTAGGCTCGGAGTTATTATTTTCATTGTCTTTATTGTTAATGGTTCGGCAAAACCTCACAACAGATGCGTTTTAAAATATGACTCAATATTGAATAACGAAAAAGATATACTGTCTTTAGTGCAGAAAATGCAGCATGATATGGCCACAACTCACAGAGAAATGAAGTCTACCATTGACTTGATTGAACATCGGCAGGATAGAATGCAAAACAAACTGTGGGACATAGAGAAAACCCTTACAAGAATTCCGGGAATTGTATCGCCTATCTTTGAGCGAATCGGATTGGGACTCTTTTACATCGAGAACAGAGTTAAGCAAAACTGGACTGATGCCCAGTACACCTGCCGTCTTAGTGGAGGTCATCTGGCGGTCTTCCAGACCAAGGAGGAGTTTGAAAACGTCGCTTGGAAACTGGAGCCTTCAAATGAGTACTGGCTGGGGATCAACGATCGTGCCAAATGGAGCGATTACATAACTGAGGCCTCTGAAAAGCGAGTACCATTTATAAGATGGACTCAGGAAGAACCAGAGAACTTGCAAGAAATCAAAAAGAACTGTGTCGGCATGACTGAACGTAAAGTCGCTGATTGGCCCTGCGATTCAAAGCTTAATTTTATCTGCCAATCGGATTATAAATATTAGAAAAATCAAAAACAGTCACACTTAAGACTCATTTGGTGTTAGCAGTATCTAAGAAATATTTAGCGAGAACGAATGTGACATATCAGGTATATCATTTTTTTTTTACTAAATCTCCTTATCAATGTTGGTATGTAATCTAGATACAACTTATTTTTTCTTTAGCATTTGTTAGATTTAATGTGCATGATAATGTTATTTTTGTATGCACGTAAATCTAGATATAGTAACAAAATTTTAAGAAATGTGAACAAATTTTAAGATGAAATATTAAAAAAAGCACCTAATCATGTTAGAAATAAACATTGAAATCTTTACAAAAGGCTTCTTGTTTTTACTATTAAGATTAAGTGAACTGTTACAATATCAAATCAATTAAGGGCACAAATCGGCAATCCCTCGCAATTCTCATTGTGACTTCACAAATCTCTTGAGCCGCCCTGTAACCAATTAAAAACGGGGCGATAATACGGAACTTGACCCTTCCAGTGGACATTGCATCGAGGGAACAAAGCCGGCTGAAGGATAACGGTTTAATTCTCACTTAATTGGAATTACGATGGCAGCAACTTTTCAGCCGCTCCCGTTTCCGTTTCCGGTGGCGCTTTGCGTTTTCCGATTGGTGTCATTTCGGTTGCCAAGGCGAGCTGCTTATGCCCGACACCAAACACCATGGAAAATCTGATGTTCTGGTGGCGGACTCGGGGGAAAAGCCGTGGGAAAAGCAGGGAAGGCCCAGCGGCGACGTGGCGCTGCATTTGCATGAGTAGCTCGGTAAGTGGAGGAGGAGCCGCTCTAGATTGACATGAAATGCAATTACGGCCAAAAACTCCGGCCGGGGTACTGGGAGCAGGGACACCCATCGAAATGGCCGCCATAAATCTGCGCCGAAAAATGTGTCGCTTAATCAAGACACACACACGCCCACCGAGCGGCCCCTGGAAACCCCCAGATGTCCCCAGAACCCCGAAAACACAATCCGCAACCCAGTTTTCTAGCCACAGAGCCACGTCTCTTCATAAGTTGTCGCCTGGCTGAAGCGAAATTCGGCCAGCCTCACACAGTCAGCGCAAAAAATTGATACAAATTGTATGAATTTATGGGAGTAGGCAGTTATTCAAAGAAGTGTTTTTTGGGGTTCCAGTGTTAAAGGGATCATTTTAAAATAGCTGGGAATTTAGTTGGTGATTAGAAATACAACTTGGAAAGTATCCTGGCTGAATTGCTGATAATTTCTAATGATCAGTAATCAAGTTTTAGGCTTTGGAAAAACAAATTCTAGAATTATACGTTTTTTTGAAATCTTGGTTTAAGAAATATTAAAACTGTAATTAATTTTTTTTCTTTTTCATTCGAACTTTTAGAACTTAAATCATTCTCATTGAAAATAATTATATATTTTTTTAATCTTTAGTCTTAGAATTCCAAAGTACCTCCATAGACTTAATGGCGAACCCTCACCATTTATCATTTAGTTTTTCAGTAGTTCCTAATTAGGGCTGAACATTTTCTCTGCCTGTACTCACACTCTCCGGCTCCCAGTCCGTGTCCGTGTCCATGTCCATTGCCATGTCCGTGGGATCCGGCTGCTGAGTTGGCAACGGAGGGCAGCACTTGATAGCTGTCGCTGTCCACGCCGATGGCACTTGTCACATGATAGCCGTAGCCGTTCGAATGTGGATGCTGTGGTCCCCCGGATGCCCCGTTGCCCCCGGAGCTGGCACCCCCTCCGCTGGAACCATAGATGCCCAGGATGGCTTTGGGCTGTTGGTACTGGCCGTGGTTGCTGTGGTGCTGTTGCTGCTGTTGCATGTTCAGCTGCTCGTCGGGATCGTGGAGGGCGGTGAGGGTGAGTTCCATCCCGCCGTTCCCGTTGCTTATGTCCTTGGAGTCCAGACTTCCAGTGGGGTAGTAGGGAGGTGGTGGCGGAGGCTGCTGCTGCTGGGGATCCTGGCTCAGCGAGGGTCTTCGGCTGGCGTCCAAGTCAAGGTCGTACTCCTTGGTTCCCGCGGATCCTGGATTTGTGGCGGTGTTAGCGGTGCCTCCTCCTCCAGCCCCTCCTCCCACCGAACCACTTTCTTTCTTGGAGGCGTGTCGCCTGCGGCAGTGGCAAAAGGCGTAAAGGAGAGCCAGGAAGACGAGGAAGGAAAGCGAGGCGATGATGATGGCCACCAAGGCTGAGGTCGTCATGGAGGAGCTGTGCGGCATGTAGGACTTGCCAACTGAAAGCGGGATTACAAGGGATTAGTTTTGGGGATTTTCGGGTGTGATCTGCAAGACCAGCAAGTAAGTTTCCGACTCAAAATGGGAAAATATTTATTTGCTGGCTCCACTGCATTTGATTTTGATTCTAGGCATGACTTCTGTTATTTAAAGTTTAAGAATATAAATTTGTTCATTTGTTTTGGTTTTATATATCCTTTTAAAATAAATTAAAAAATAAAAAAAAAAAATTTTAAATATTGAATTTGTTAGTAGCCTTTTTAGTTAGACAACGAATTTCTTTTTTAATTACATTAAATTTATTTCAAAACATTTGTTTCACGAGTAGGTTATTCCTAAAATATATTTTTACAGAATAAATAATAAATATGTCCCATATTTTTTTAAGTGCAGAGTATTGAATTCTAAAATGAGCAATACTCACTTTCCGCATTGGCATATGCTCCGCAGTGATCGTGGTTGGACCGCAGACATAGTTTGACCCGCACCACTGGACCAGGACCGGCGGTCTCCGCCAAGGCCATGGTGCGATCCTCGCCCAGGTGGGCGCCACCACCCACCACTCCTCCCACTCCACCCACCACACCACCCAGACTCCTGCCCGATGTGGTGGCCGTGGTGTAGTGGGCGGGGCGCGACACGTGATTGATGACGGCCTCCTTGAAGGTCGTTTCACTGCCCGAGGGCAGCAGGGTCAGGGTTTCCACGATCTCCCACATGGGCACAGTGGCGTCCCGGGTGACCAGGGACTCCACCACGGCAATCAGGGACAAACAGGTGGCGGCCACATTGATGCCCAGAACGTGCGAATTGGGATCGTAGCTCACATGCAAGGGCGGTGGAATCTTGCTGACCTTCGTGGTGGCCAAAACCTCATTCGAATAACCCGAAGTTCCCTTGGAGTTCAGAGCATATACCTTGAACATGTAACTCTGATGCTGATCTAAAGGTGCCAGTTTGCAGGGGTTCTCCTTGAAGCAGTTGAACTCGATCCATTCGTGGTTGGAACTACTGGAAGAGCTGCTTATCTGATAACTGGGTATATAGCCATGACCCGAACAGTCGGCTAGGGTCTGTTCCCTAGGTGTGGCCACTCTCCTGTAGCTCACCAGATATTTGGTGCTCATAAAGCCACCATTGAATCCGGGTGTCCAATTCAGGACGGCATAGTTGTGACCCACCTCGAGGATCTTCAAGTTTGTGGGCTTTTCCGGGGAACCCTTGGGCTGCAGTCTTATGGGAGCCCTGATACTATCCAAGGGATTAACAGCCCTGCAAATGTACTCCCCATAGTCGGAGTGCTGCAAGTGCGCTATCCTCAGGATAGAGGTATACACATCATTGTTCTCCATTCGCGTACTTATCTCATAGTGGCCATCCGAAGACATGGTCAAGGGCGAGGGATTGTTTCCGTATTGCCATTGAAATTCGGGTTTCGGATAGGCCTGAACGCGGCAAACCACCTCTGCGGATTCCCTCAGATCATAGGCCACTTTGTTATATTGATGAATAATTATAGGCTCATGTTCTATACGCAGATGCATAGAGGAATTCGCCGAGTTCACATCGTTTTCGTAGAGGCAGGTATATAAACCTCTATCGTTTGGCAGCAATTGGTTTCCATTGGGCCTGGCCTTGCCCCGGAATCGGAGGATACTTTGGACGGCCACCACTCCACCACCGGCATCCGTGGGAGTCGTTCTTATATCGAACATCTTTCGCGTGGGCAAAATCTCCGTGCCATCCTTGATCCATCGGATTTGAGGAGTGGGTTTTCCCTTGGCACTGCAAGTCACCGCATAATCCACATCGCCCACTCTTCGAGTCATATGTTGCTGCAGCTTGGCCAAAAACTGAGGTGGCTGATGGACTTCCAAAATAATGGTGGCTATCTTTCCAATCCCCAACTCATTCACCGCATGACAATGGTATTTTCCCTCGCTTCCCAGGTGAGCTTTGGGTATGGAGTATTGGGGACCTTGAGCCAGGATTTTCTGGGTATTACCTATGTCCCCATCCATATCCCGGAACCATCGGTACTGGGGAACTGGCCAGCCCGGAGGATTGGCTGAGCAGGTCAGGGTCACACCATTGCCCACATGAACCACCGGCTTATTCGGGGTTATATACGCCTGACCCGGCCGATGACGAACTAGTAGGGCCACCGTGGAATTACCCACACCCTCCAATCTTTTCGAACCGAACGGCTGCATTATATTCACCGATCTACAGATATAGTTTCCAGCGTGCTCGGCTCTCACAGAACCAAGGGTTAAAAGTTCGCCGGTGTATCGGAAGTCCGGAGCTCCTTCCTTTAACCATTCAATATTTATTGGCGAAGGATTTGCGGTGACATTGCAGCGAATCAAAACAGTTTCCCCCTCCTCCGCCTCGTGGGTTTTCGACTCTATCACCACTATCGGGGGATATAGAACATCCAAGACGATATCCTTTTCGCCCGTTTTGCCCAAGCCGTTGTCCGCACTGCAGGTGTACTTCCCGGCATGATGACGATTCACCCTGTATATGGTGTGGGTGGGCGTGGCACTCACGTACTGACCGTTTCGAGACCATCGCACATTGCTGACCATCGGCTTGGCATCCACTCGGCACTCCAGTTTCGCCACGTGATCGCGTTCTACTCGTAGAGGGTTCTGGGGACCCACCTCCACTCGGGGGTAGTCTATAGGAAAAGGAAATGAAATGAAGAAAATGTTTAAATAAAAGAATATTTATAATACATAACGTAAGCTTTATATTGAGTAATTTACTAGTTCATTTTTCTCTCTTTAAAAAATATTCTGCAGTATTGCTACTTATAAACAGCTGGCATTGGAAATTTACATCTAAAATAATCTTGACTATTAGTATTTATGTAAAACAAGTTAGCATCAGCACATAAATAGTAACACCATATAATGGAGTAGTCGAGGCAGCTTAGTTTATAATTTATTCACTCTTTCGCTCTAGTTATTATTTTTTCGGTTCATTTGGGTTAGCATACAAATAGGCAATTACAGTCCTGGTTTAGATCCCCTCCTTAGTTTTAGTTGACTGGTTGTTCGGGCCATTAACTTGTCAATAACCGTTTTCAATTACACGAGGACGGCAGCATAGTTCCACTGGGCAAAAAATACAATTTACTCCATTGAAGGACGTTGACGAGTTCAGCGTGACCCATCGACATTTTTAAATAATGCCATTTTGTGGAACAAAAAAGCAATATATGTTTACTAGGATGTGTGTTGGGGAAATGGCCCTAGAAATTGCCACAAGTATTTTTGTGGGCACTTTACAGTGGTAGAAGCTTATGTTTTTGTAACTATTTTTATTTTTTTTGTGAAAAAAAACTTTCAAAAATATTGAAACAGTTGTTTATATTCTTTTACACTAAATATGAAATAAAATTCTTTAATACAAGATTTTATAAGACTTAATACAATTGATTTATAAACAATTCTGATGGATTAATAGTGCTTTGAATTTTTTCCTTTATGCATATGTCAAAATAAAGGAGTTCAATTGCTAATGAACAAATTCCTATCAATGACAGTTCCTTTATTATGCCGAAACAGTAAATACTTGCTCAATCGGGGCTCATAATTGAAACGTCCACGATGATAAGTCCACTACACTTTATTCGATTTCCACTTTGAGTTGTCTTTATCTGTCATTTATCTGCCAACTTTCCCCATTTCCAAATGTCGGGGAAAACCCTCACCTCGTCGCAACTCCTCGATTCTCGAACATTTCACTGACTTTTAGTCGTTTAACTCACCATTGTGCGCTTTGGTCATTTGGTTTAAGTGCCGTTAGTTTCATTCCGTATCGAATCGGTTTTCCACCCACTTACCACCCCACCACCCCCTCGTGAAAAGCGCGTTCAGTGAAGCGTGAGGCATAATAGTGGCTAAGTATAATTGTTGCTGTTGTTGTTGCGCCAATTAACTTTCGAACACTTTAGTTTAATCACCGTCTGCCCAACTGAACGGAGTCTGACCTCCGACCTCCCACCTCCGACCCCCGACCGCCACGCCCCCTTGTCAGCCATTTGCCTACGATTATAGCTGATATGGCCCATTGTTGCTGGCGGGCCAGCATTTCGCCCAATTGTTTTTGTTGGCTCTAATTCGTGAAGCGGAGTAAATGTGCCTGCGTCATGGTTTAAGCTCCCAGGACCAACGAAATGGTGAGGAAAAAATCAGGAGGATTATTTTCTAAAAAATTATAGACCAATAGGTACCTTGCGTTAATATTTGGCAGTGTAATCTTTGTTTTAAAATTTATTTTTTTATGAAACACTTCGAATTTTTTGAAAACAATACAAAAATATACAATTCTTAAAAAATAAATAAATTTTAGTTCCAGCCAAGGTAAATTTTTAAAGAGAAATTATGTTATAGGGTAAATGTTAATATTACGCTGAATAACAAAATCCAGTTGCAATGGATGGTTAATTATTAGGGATCTTAAATACCTCCTTCCTTTTTAGACGTGTTAAGAAACGAGATTTCCTTTTCAAACTCACCAATGCCCTTAATCGTGGAATTATAACCTAGAAAGTATAGTGTTTTCTGTTTTTACAGACCCCAGAAAAGCTAACTTTCTCCCCGCACAAATACCCAGCAAAAAGTAGAAAAAAAGCTGCGTTATCCGGGACCCAATTACGCGTCGCCCGAAAACATTAAAGCCTAACTCCTAAATGAGGGACACTGTGTGTGAGTGCTCGTGTGCGTGTGCCTGTGCGTGTGCCGGTGGTTGTGTGTGTTTGCTGGTGTGTGTAATTATAAAATAAAATTTAATGAGCAGAGCTGCGACCAGAAAAACAGAAGCCACCGCGGAGGAGGAAGGAAAAAATCAAGTTTGCATTTCAACACATGCTGTTGCCACCCCAAGCCCAAAAAAAAATCCATTTATGGAGGAAGAGGAACCCTCGGGGCATTTTCATGCCCAGCCATCCATGTAGTTTCACGCTGATGTCGGGGTGTTGCTGCCACGCCCACATCTCCCCTTCCTGCCCCTCAGAAGTAGGAGCCTAGTCCAGAACCCTCGCTGTCCTGACATTTGCCACGGTCCTTCTTTTTCTGCATAGTTTTACAACAGCAAAAATGTTCAAGAAAGTAGAAAAAATTAATTCATTTCTTGAGCGGGGAATAATGATTTGGGGATGGTATTTGTTGAATAACATCTCAAATACCAAGGAATAATTGTGGTTCTTCTGGGAAAGGAATTTGAAGAAAATTTGATGTGGTTGAAGGCTTAATTATTTAAAAGGAAGAGATTTTGAGAGGAAAATGTATTAGATGTGTAGAATTTAACTCCGAACATGGAACAAAATTGGTGAGAAAATCCAAATCCGCTTTAAGTTCATTTTATCAAAAAAGGTAGAATTGTTAAAAAATGTTGCGAATGTTTTTAAATAAAACTAGGAAAGTAAAATTAAATTATAAAGTAATTTTAAAAATACGTTTAATATATAATCCCCTTATAGTTGTTTCCCAATTGCTAGCTTTAAATATTTAATAATATTATCTATATAATTTATTTTAGAGCTAGTAGAGAAAGAGCATTCTAAATGCATTGACTTGAAAATAAACCTATACCTCTTGCTCCACATTTTTTTCGCACAATTTTTTAAATGAGTTGCCTGGGTTGGACCTTGTTCACATGTATGCTGGCACGCCTACAGCTACGCCTAGAATACTGCCCCTGCCAGCGCCCCTCCATATTTCGCCACTCCTTCGCCTTGCACATTGTGATTTTATGACCGGCTACATTAGTGCCATGAAATATGCTCCTCCTGCACCTGCACCACCGAAACCACCTGCTCCACCTGCTCCACCTGCTCCACCCGTCGTAAACCCAACGCAATCCCAATCCACAACCGAAACCCAAGCCGACTCGACGAGATCCTGGCTTCCGGCTAGGCAGCGTTAAATAAAAATGAAACGTTGCGCATACGCCGCGTTGGCCGTGGCGTAACTTATGCCCGCTGGCCATTTTTGCAGCGAAATTTAATTATTTAACCCGGAACTGGGCCGAACTCGGCGTTTTTTTTTTTGTTGCAGCTGGTTGCTGGTTTCTCGTTTGCTGTTGCAGGATGTATCACACACACCTGCTCGGCTGATTTTAATGAGTCGAGTTTGCAGTTTGGCTTTAAGCTTTTCCCTGGTTATGACTCGCCCACATGGCACCGGGAAAAAATACCTCGAAAATGGCACGGCCAACATGGTATTGTTAGCCATTAAACAGCGTTGGGGTTTTTAAATATGAAAATAATATTGGAGCAATGCAAGCCATTAAAATGAGTATATCAGCTTTGGGTTTTACAATTTCTTTCTTATATATTCAGTAAATGGAAAACCTTTTAGTTTAACTAATTAGTATTGCAAATATTATTGGAATACTGACTAAATATTTTTAGGAGTGCTTTCTAACTATGCCCAATGTTAAGCTGAAACGACAATTGGCTAACATTTTTTGGCAGTGCGCCTATGACTCCAGCTGCAGTGGCTGCCTTTGTTCAGCTGGCATTTTCCGCCCCTGCTTTCCATCTTGTCCAAATTGAAAAGTTACTACCGACAAAGGCGGCAAACCAAAGGAGTCGTGTGGGGGAAAAGGTGGGTGAATAGGGATGCAGCTGCCGCCGATCCTTCTGCTTCTTCTTCCTTTTCCTTTGCCTGCTGTCGCGTACGTGTCACAGGGAACACATCACGTGACTTCCGGCACGCGTGCTCTCAACACCTAACCACCACCCGGTTTTCCCAATATTCCCCCGTTTCAGCCCAGTTCTCTGGGCTTTCAGAGGCAAAAAAACATATCGAAATGCCAGGGGAAAATGGTTGCAAATTAAGAAACCGAGAGGCAGCAGAGATTTCTCTGACTAGCATTGCATAACGCAGAGCTAAAGTCAATAACTGAAAATATATAGTAGTTGAGGCTGAAGAACAAATCAATATTTCCTTGTTCAAGACATGTTTTTAAATATTGTGTCATTAAAATCAAGAGATCTTGGAAACATAACTATATTCATCTCACTTTCTTACTTAGTAAAGGTACTCTATTTGTAAAGAAATTATACAAGTTAGTTTGAATGGATTTCTACAGAATCAGCCAGCATAAACGGGCACAACATGCATTCGACTTTAACAAAATGGATGTCCCCTTTCCATTTTTTAAAAAAGCCCACTGAATGCCACATCGTTGAAATGATCAGCATATACAAACGGATTTAAAATAAATCAAGCGGTGCCCGCACGAGGGTGTAATCATTATGCTGCGAATATTTCGCACCCACCACACTTTTGGCCCACTTTTGCGGCCCGCAATCGATGGCTTATAAAAACTATAGCATACTTTTTTGGGCTGCAAAAAAGGGGGTCTGCGTCTGTCCCTGCAAAAAGGGGGGTTGGCCTGGCCACTTCATTGTGCACTTGATTGCGCTTTGTGCACTGGGCCATAGGTGTCATATGGCTGGTGGAAATTAATTGAATTGGCTTTGGTCCGTGTAGCGGGTGCGGAGGGTACAGTGGGTACAGTGAGTACAGTGAGCACTGCGAAAACAAAAACAAGTGGCCAAGTCCTTTGGACCACTTGCGGTCGAGTCGATGATGAAGTTGCCGTGCTGGGCGAACCAAAAAGTGTAGTGCAGTTAATTGAAATTGGGCAAAGCAATTAATTTGC